CAGAGATTCAAAAGCAGAAGCAGGGATCCAAAAGCAGAACCAGAGTTTTGGAAGCAGAGTCAGGGAGATCCAAAAGCAGAACCAGGGGCTAAAAGCAGAGCCAGGGGCTAAAAGCAGAGCCAGGGGCTAAAAGCAGAGCCAGGGGCTAAAAGCAGAGCCAGGGGCTAAAAGCAGAGCCAGGGGCTAAAAGCAGAGCCAGGGGCTAAAAGCAGAGCCACGATTTTGAAAGCAGAGTCAGGGGCTAAAAGCAGAAGCAGGGATCCAAAAGCAGAACCAGGGGCTAAAAGCAGAGCCAGGGGCTAAAAGCAGAGCCACGATTTTGAAAGCAGAGTCAGGGGCTAAAAGCAGAAGCAGGGATCCAAAAGCAGAACCAGGGGCTAAAAGCAGAGCCAGGGGCTAAAAGCAGAGCCACGATTTTGAAAGCAGAGTCAGGGGCTAAAAGCAGAAGCAGGGATCCAAAAGCAGAACCAGGGGCTAAAAGCAGAGCCAGGGGCTAAAAGCAGAGCCACGATTTTGAAAGCAGAGTCAGGGGCTAAAAGCAGAAGCAGGGATCCAAAAGCAGAACCAGGGGCTAAAAGCAGAGCCAGGGGCTAAAAGCAGAGCCAGGGGCTAAAAGCAGAGCCAGAGTTTTGGAAGCAGAACCAGGAGGGGCTAAAAGCAGAAGCAGGGATCCAAAAGCAGAACCAGGAGGGGCTAAAAGCAGAGCCACGGTTTTGAAAGCAGAGTCAGGGAGATCCAAAAGCAGAAGCAGGGATCCAAAAGCAGAGTCAGGATTTTAAAAGCAGAGCCAGGGTTCCAAAGCAGAGCCAGGGGCTAAAAGCAGAACCAGGGTTTTGAAAGCAGAGCCAGGGGCTAAAAGCAGAACCAGGAATCCCAAGCAGAGCCAGGAATCCAAAAGCAGAGCAAGGCATCCAGAAGCAGAGCCAGGGTTTTCAAAGCAGAACCAGGGAACCAGGGGTACCAAAGCAGAGCCAGCGTGTTAAAAGCAGAGCCAGCGTTTTAAAAGCAGAACCAGGGATTCAAAAGCAGAGCAAGGCATCCAGAAGCAGAACAAGGGTTTGAAAAGCAGAGCAAGATGACGTGTCAAAGGCGAGCAAGATCATGGGGTGTACACGAACCACAGCGGTTGTTACAGATGGAGCAGAGTGGTTGAAAGCAGAACCAGAGATTGAAAGCAGAACCAGCGATTGAAAGCAGAGCCAGGGAAAGAGGTACTTTACTAAAAGCAGAGCCAGGGAGAGAGGTAGCTTTGAAAGCAGAGCCAGGGAGAGAGGTAGCTTTGAAAGCAGAGCCAGGGATTGAAAGCAGAACCAGGGATTGAAAGCAGGATCAGGGAAAGAGGTACATTAAAAGCAGAGCGATTGAAAGCAGAACCAGGGAAAGAGGCACATAGGTTTGACCAGATTGGCGTATGGACAGGCATGCTGATGTGGGATTGCGGGTGAGAGTGTGAACGTTGATGACTGTGGTTGGTGTGATGGACGTTTGAGTGGCAAATTGATTCTATCAACTAGTAGGATGAGATCGCAACCTCCAACATTAACATTGGTGCACTTGGGTCCAGGGCGCGCAGCAACTGGGGAAACTTGCGTGTTTAATCTGGGACCTGGTTGATCGGGGACCTGACCGGCAGTGGCAAACCGTGGATATGGCTGCTTCATTGCGTATCAATGAAGACGATTCCCGTGTCCATGGGAACAGCAATCTGGGTTTCAGCAAACAGGACCATCTGCCCCGAGCAAAAGGTGGCATTCAGCGGTAATGCAACGCTGTGGACCACGGTGACTTGCGATGAGGCTCGGGCAAATTGCACCTGTAGGAGGAACAATTGGGAGCCGGCCACAGCCCGCGCGACCAAAAAGGCGTCGCGACAGCCCGTCTGGTTGCCGGCCAGCATCATCAAGGGGCAGCCCGGGACGTAAACAAACTCTTGCTCAGCCACGAGGCCAAAGGTCATGATGTCCAACGGTTGGCCCGAAGTGCGACTAAAGTTGATGGCGCGCCAGGTGAGGCTGGCAAAAGAAATGAGCAGCAGTGAGTTGGGATCGCCCGTGTGGTTGGTGCTGGCGTTGTGATGAAAGGGCCCCAGGGCCAAGTGAGAAAGCGCCTGAACGCTTTGGTCCGGGACCGCGAGGTCGTAGGTGCGGGAAACGTTGACGCCGTCGTCATGGAAGCACTGCACGCGTGCTGATAGGACTGGGTTTTGCTCATTTACAGCCGCAACGCAGCTTAGATGATGGTCCGGAAGCATGGTGGCCAACGAAACAAAGACGGCGCGTGCGTCGTGTAGAGCGGGTGCGTCCACTTGAGGGAACCCATCTGCGGAGGGCAAGGCGTGTGTGAAGCTCGAGGGTGAACCGCAAGGGATGGACACGTTCCAGGCTTGGATCATCTTGCCAACGAGACGGCGGTAGATGTCGATGGCAAAGAGGCGGCAATCTGCCTGCGCCACCGTGCACGAGGCGTTGTCCGGACGAAATTGGGTCGGAAAGACGGCCCGGAAGCCGCTGACCAGTGCAGACTGGGTGGCCGTATATGTGCCATGGCAGCCATCAACCGTTGCGTTGAGCCACATGGAGCCCAAGGGCACTCCGTTGGTGAGATAGGTGGCGACGTCACGGTCCGTTGAGGGCAAGACAAAGACGTTGTTGTGTGTGGCGGCCAGGGAGTGCAGGTTGCCCATGTTGGGGGAGATTAGGGCCGGTGGGCCCAGCGGCTGGCCTGTACTGGCCAAAGCCACTAGGTTAAAGCCGTCCGAGGCAAAGACATTCCCGTTCAGGTCGGCAATGGGCAGGGCGCTGGTGTTGAAGATGTCTGTCGAGTTCCACAGCGGATGTCCCTCTGGGTCAAAGGCCACAAGTCCAGGCACAGAGCGGTTGTCCCACCCAGGCCCGCCCCGAGAGCTGGTGCAGACCAGCACGCCGCCGCTGTTAACCACGCAATGGCCTTCTGGATACGGCACCACCCATGGCTTGCGGAGTTGCCAGGTTCTGGTACGCCCTGTCGCCAGCCCATCGTCGGTGTCGAGACTGAAAGAGCGATACCCATCACACCCATCAAAGCGACAATAGGCGCTGCACCACTCCGAGAGGATCGCACATGCCAGCAACCCCACAGTCAGTCCCCGCGTCACCATTGTGCAGGCGTTGCGACTTGTCCCTCGCTCTCCCCCCCTTTTTTTTGGATACATCAACACACCGCCCGTGCCAAGGGAAAGGAATAGTATGTTTAAAGAAGGGGCTGCTATCTCGTGTCGAGCGGGATTCCAGCCAACGCAATATTGCACCAGCCTATCAGTGCCCCAGCCAGCCAGGCACGAAGGGATTCGTCAGAGCCAGACGCCAACCTGAACGCAAGGCGGTTGCAGCCGGCACAGCACGCGATCGTACCTCCGATCCGTCGCAATCCAGAAAAAAACAACAAAAAAAAAAACAACGAATGGCTCCAACCAGTCACACACGTAACTGAGGTGAAGCAGAAGAGAGGGAGAGAGAGAGATGAATTGGTTTGTGAGAGATGGGAGAGAGAGAAAAAAAATGAATTGGTTTGGTTTGAGAAACACAGAGAGAGAGAGAGAGAGAGGGAGTGAGAAATAAGAGTCGAAATAGAGAGAGAGAACGTACTTTTGGTATTTTGCAATTTGTTAGCAAGTGCGACACCATCATCATCACTTGAACTTCTCTCTGCAAGGTCAGTGGACTCGGGCAACGGCAGCGCTGGGATGTGCACTTGGGGCGAGGATTCAGAAGGTGTATGTGTGTGTGTGTGTGTGTGTGTGATGGGGTGGGGTGCGGGTCTGAAGGGACCGTGAAGGCAGCACGGTGTGGTGACTGACTGGCATCTTGTCATGTGTGTGGCAGCTTGAGGATAGACACCGCCGTCATGCTGCGAGTGCTGCAGACTGCTTCGCGGGCACGGATCGTACCAACCCTCCCTAAAACGCTGGCCCCCCAGCGAAACATCTTTCAAATGTGGCAGGGGTCAGTTGCAGCTTGCGCTTGTATGCCTCCTCAGCCCTTCGTCTCTCACCCCCGGCTTGCGCTGTGTAGATGGATGCGCGCAGTATGGAACCGCGTGGATAGCAAGCGCTTGGAGCTTGTGGGCCGTGATCGGTGCGCTGTCTTTGCTGCACGTGTTGTCCACTCTTCCATGATCCTTGCCACCCCTCACTCAATCAGCCCTCGGCAGACTGGCAGCCGAATGGTTGCTCAAGCTTGGCGCTGCAGCTCGTCTTGACCTCGGCACTGGGTCTCAGTACGTGCTCGTTGCCAAAGAGTCTGCATGCTTCCTTCCTGAGCAGACGCAGTTGTATTTCTCCCTTGCCTTTCCTTTGCTTTTACTACGCACACCTTCAAGCTCACTGGCAAAACATGGCGCCACAATGTAGCTGGCACCGCCAATACAATGCCTTGCCTTGGCTTGCTGACACCAACCGCGGCGCAAAGCCACGCAGCACTGCTCGGCTCACGGGGCTTGACGCCACGGGCAGTGAGGTCAATGATGCCGGCCTTCAACGTAAGATCTCTTCCTGCCGATCCTGCTGTCTCTGGTCTGCCCGCGTGCGCGCTCACGTTGAGCCTGCACTGTGAGGGCACGCTTTTCCGCAGACATTGAGAACATGGAATCGCTCGAGCTGGCCGTCTTTCGAGATTGCTCCTACCTTTCCAATTCTGCAAGTCAGGTATGTGACAAGTCGGACGTCGCCTTTTGCTCTCTCCCCATCAACTTGACAAAATGAATGGCCATGCATTCACCGACATGTTCATTCTCATACTGGCGCTGACATATTCGTCGCCGTGTTGGTCACTCATCCCTTCTGCGCCCCATTTCACTCGCACTTCTCCGCGTGCACAGTCACTGGCTACCCTGCGCGGGTGCCGCGTGCTCGATCTGACCAACGTAGCCATCAATGAGGCGCGACTGGTCCAGCTCTGCGAGAACCTACCAAGCCTGGAACGTCTCTACCTGGCACCCCATCAAGGCAAGACCGCCCGCCACCATGTTGTGATTCATCAATTGTGCTCTTCCCTTGCCCGCCTGCACTCACGCCGGACCGAATAAAACGAACTGCACAGCAACCGACACCCTGAGGCAAACGGTCAAGCCAGCATTACAGATTGAAACACAAGCAAAGGTGGAGACTGGGAGCTAATCCGAGGGCAAGCATAACCGCCTTTGTTGCCATGGAGTTTTCCTTGCTTGACAAATGCATCCAAGAGTCGTTGCAGGTCCTATGTCAGTGTTCCACCCCCCGGGACAACAGTTTGTGAATAAATCAAAACCAACATCGACGTGACTCAAAACTACAGCCCTTTGGGTTCTTGAAGGAAAAAATCAAACAAAACAAAACACCAAACAAAACACCGAGCAAGGAGAATAGAAACATGCCACAAGAGCCCATGATGGGTTGCTTTTCTTCCCCGCCCCTTCCCTGAAACAATCGAGAATGCTTTCCACTCTCAACTTGTCTGTGGAGAATCAGCACCGCTCATGCCTCAGCCCCTCACCTTGACGTCGCCATTGAATGCCTGATCACCCTGCATAAACATGCTCAGCATGACATGGATGCTGCACCGGGTTCCAAAAGCATGCACACAAAGGACTGAGCATCGACGCTGAAACGCCAGCCGAGACCAATACCAAAGCAACCGAAGCAAGAGTTTAGTCAACGGACCGTTCAAGCGGTAGCGAGGCAGCGTTTCGGAGCATGCCCTCGACAAAACGGAGGACCACGATGGCTTGGGGGGATTCGAGCGGATCGTCTGCGCCATCACCGACAGCTGCCGCCTCTTCATGGGTTTCGTGATGCCCGTCACCACCTGCGGCTGAACAAGTTGCGAAACACCCACCCCGAGCACCAATCAACAGCCACAAGTCCAACACAAGTCCAAGGTTACGAATCAGCATGTCAAAGCGCTGCGTAATGGAGCTCGCTGCACAAGAAGGGCAGCACCGCACACACCGTGATGGTGAGCAAAATGATCTTCATCCAAGAGAAATTTGTCTGGTTGGGTTTCCCGCACCAAACCAAGACCGACCCAATACGCAAGCTTGCTGCGGACAACGGGGCCCGTGCACTGGGAGGCACACAAAATAGCGCCAGGGTAGATTGAGGCGCCACAATCACTCCACAGGCATGTGCAGGGCTGACGACACTTAATCCAGAACATCGTAACGGACCTCGAGCTTTTTAGCTAGAGCCTGCAAAGACCACTCGGGCTGCTGCTCAAACAGATTGATGATGCAGGCTGCCAATGGGCTGACCACGAGATCCAGCTATAATCCAAACAGGGTTGATCCCATGAGGTGGACACCCACCCTCCGTCAGACAAACAAGATCTGGTCACATAGGTTGGCAAACAACAGCGACATGGAAATGCCATCAAGCTTTCATTCAGATGGAGCTGGTGCACACCTGCTTTCCGCCGGCCTCCAATTGTAATTCCACGGTTCCTTCGTTTGGACGAAGCTGCTCGCGCATGACCAAGCATCATGAGCAGACGCGTCGCCAGATGTCCTGCTGCCCAAGCTGCTACGCACCTCGAGGTGACGGCCGGCTTTGAGACGGCTGTAGGACGTCTTGTATTCTTCCAAGTACTGCTCTAGGCCCTGTAGAGAACAAGACGGAAGGGCAGGATTGAGAAGGGTGTCCACCGGTTGCTCAAAAGGTAGCTCGAGATGCGGGCTAGGGCTGTGTGATTGAAGGTTCAAATGGTTTGAATCGTACATCTGGTAGTCGAAAATTGACGGTGCTGGTTTGGAGTCCCGGCCAGTACAAACGAGAGAGGACCAAAACGTTGACTTGATCCTTGGATAAGGGAGCGGCTGGAGTTTCCGGCACAGGTTGTTGGCTAAAGCTTTGATGAACGCGGCGAGATTCGTTGACGTCCTTGATCAAGATATCACAGTTGACGAGGGCATCTTCGCCAAAGCGAACTTTAAGCGTTTCCAGCAAACGCGTCTCGCTATCAACACGGGCACGGGCAGGGGCACGGGGACGGGCACGGGCGTGAGTCGTTGGATCTGGGGGCTGGGTGGAGTGACATGCATGATGTGCATGGGTTGAGCCATTTTGCACTGACTCAGTGGTGGCAAAGGATCGACTTTCCAGTAGCCTCTTGGCCAAGACGTTGCGATACTGAGATAACAAGGTCTCTGGATCGCCGTAAATGCTGATCAGCAGCTGGATGGGATCATTCTGTAGGTACAAAAGACGGAATGAACGTAGCCTGGAAAAAGCGACCAGGCGTGGCGCTTGGCTATTGCCATGGCGGCAGTAATTATGGCACACGCCTGGCTCGATGGACCGACGTTCGAACACGTATGTGTGGTGTGTGTCTGGGGATTTGGGAAGGCAAATAGTCCACCCTCGGACTGCCACCTTACCATGAGCTGCTGGACTTGGTCAAGCTTGGACATGGGAGAGACACCGTCCCACGGCTCTGGGAGCCATTGCACAACGGTCTGCTCATCCCGAAGGGCATCTGGTTCGGCAGTATTTTCATCGGTGATGGCTTCGATGACGTTCTTCACCGTGTCGGTGCGTTTCTGAAGATAGTCACGAATGAGCGGGCCCACTCGGTTCAAGATGCCACCTGATGCGTCGAGGAAGCTATGGAAAGGAAGGGCCATGAGGCGATGCTCGGAGCTCAAAGAAATGAAGTAGGTGTGAGTTCTTGGCAGGCACACTCCAGGGACGTACTTGAGAACGTGAACAGTTGAAATGTACTGGGAAATGATGTCAGCTGTTTGCGCACCCACGTGCAACAGGCGCTTCTGAATGGCTAAGCCAAGGTGCGGCCATCATATCAAAAAGTGAGGGTCTGCATGTTCATACATGCAGGAGGGAGAGCGAGTATCAAGGTGGGCATTCAACAACAGACCGGCGGAGAGTTGGTGAACCAGCGCGTCGCGCAAATCGCACTGCTCTAGGCAGGTACGAAGGTTGCGGATAGCCGGGATGGAATCTGGGTAGTCGACGATAATGTCAAAGAGCTCAGCGATACGCTGTCGGCCAAGAACATGGTAGACGTGGCGCTGGATGGAACGGACGTCTAGCAGCAGAGCAGCCAAGTCGAGCCTCGTGACATGAGTGCAGGCGTGATTCAAGCGGGGTGGGGTCTCGAGTCAGTTCAATGACACACCAAGTGAACAATCCAAGGTGGTTTCAAAATATGGGACGAGGCCTTTGATCAGCTTGTCAACGTTGGCCAGCACGTTGGTCTCAAAGTCTCCTTTAAAACGGGCAATTCGCCTAATTCAGCCCAGGCGGTGACGCAAACCGATGGTGTCAAGTGGTTGGGTGGCTGGGATACGCACGGAAGGAGAGGCGGCATTTCGGGTACGGAAGGAGGGGCGAGAAAATAAGGGTGGCAACGAATGGAGACGGTATCAAGTGACCTACGTGGCGACAACAGAGCTAAGGGCTGTGTGCAGAGCGGGCAGCGCGGTTTGCCTCCGGGTGGCAACGGGTAAGGCAGTATAGAGGTGCGACTGCAGGGCGGCAGTCAGACTAGCTCGTCGTGCAGTATCTAAAAGTAGTTTACGCACAAGCAAGGCGTTGAGCTTTGGGTACAAGATGGTCCGGGAAAAGAGGATGGCTTGCCATTTGACGCACCATCTGCACCTGAGAGCCGGGGTGGTCCATCATCCCGACTGTCGCCATCGTCATCTTCCTCATCATCATCGTCATCGTCATCGTCACTGCAGCTTGATGGCGCAAGAGCAGAGAGGCACTGGGCCAGGTCATGGGCGTACAGACGCGTCAAAAGGTCATGTTTGCGTTGGAGGGTCACCGTGTCCAGAGTTGTCTCGAGTGCCTGCATCAAGGCCGACTGGAGCTGGTGTCTGAGGCCCCAGATCCACAAGATGATGGGGGTGAGGCGAGGGCATACAGGAAAAGAAGAAGAAGAAGAGGAAGAAGAAGAGACAGAGGTGTATGAAATCCCGACTGTACGGCTGTACGGGCTGAATCGCACAAGGGAGGCGGGATGAGATGGCTGACCGAGTGTCGAGGTTGGTGAGGGCCCCGGCCAAGCTCTGGGCAAAGGTGTGCCACGCGTGTAGTTGTTGCAAAAAAGCGTCAAAAGGCGGCAGGGCTGCGGCGACGTTGGTGGGGTCTGCATGCAGCAAGTTTTGTATTTGCACGGCTGTCGCATGGTGGAGCAAGGCCATTTGCATCTTGTCTGAAGGCAGTCAGGCACGATCGGCCAAACCGGGATGAGCCAGGCGTGGCTGCAGGCATGGTCAATTTGAATGGAGGACCGGACGGGGGCCGAGAAAGGGACAATCCTTACAGGCAATGAGGCGAATGACGTGTATCATCTGGGTCGCAGGCCAAGGATCCAAGAGCTGGGCCAACTTCAGGGCCCAGGTCTCGATTACAGTGGCGTCTACATGGGCGGTCGGTTTCCGGCGGTGGTGAGGAACTGAGCAACAACAGGCCAACCACACAAGACCCAAGCAGATCTTGGCCGTTTCGTCCTCCCAACACCCGCACCCGCACCAACCTTCATTGGATGAGACGGGGGTGACGGCAGCTGTGAGGGCCTGCGCCACCTCCTGCCAACCCGCCGCCATCATGTGAATTTAAAAAAAAAAATTAAAAAAGAGGAAAAGTTAAAAAAAAAATACATGACGTAAGAAAAAAATTCACACGAGAAAGTGTAATCTTCATTACACCATTTGAAATACAAATTGCAGCATCACAAATGCCTAAAAATAGGGTGAATGTGTTCACTCAATTTTTATTTCCCGTTGTAACCATGATAAGCAATACCTTACTATCGAAAGTTGATTCGGCTTTGTTCGGACTGCCTTGGGTGTGTGTGCTTGTTGTTCTGCTTTTGTTCAACCTTGAGTGTGTGTGTGCTTGTATCGTCTTGGTGTGTTCCGAGGACGCGATCGGTTCGGCGTCATTTTCTTCTTCGTTATCTCGTTCTTCGATTAGGCTCGGTTTGGCAGCCCACCTACAAGCAGGCAAAAGGCAAGATGCAGGGTCAATCATCGAGCGGCAACAACAATGCAGCGGTTCCGGCCGCTGTTGTGTCGTGGGAGTACCTTGACATGACGTGGATCACGTATGACCACGCGACGCAGCGTCAGATTGAGGATGCCTATCTTCAGTACACGAATGGCACTTTATCGCACGGCAAGTGCGACCTGACCCATGGCAGCTTTTTTGCCGGCCAACCGAACACTTACGAAGTTATCTTCATGACGATGGAGCAAAGGAACAAATCGACCAACAATCGGCGCGCCGTTCGTCGCTTGATTCGCCCCAGCACCAGTGCCAACCTCACACACGAAATGTGGGAGCTCACGGACAATCACCAGTACCAGTACGAGGACAAGGGGAACTGGTTCAACTTTGATCCCTGGGCCAACCTGCAGCTCTATCACACGCCAACCAACGTGGTGATTCTCAACAGCGGCGACTACGAGTTTTTGTTTCCCCGCCACCGCGTTGACAAGGCGCACGGCACCCAATTCACCACCTTCAGCAGTGAGCAACGCAGAATCCGCCTGGTCCGCATGCAAATTCCGTCGCCGCAAGCAGACGACGTTCCCACGGCGGCCCTCAAAGGCCTGGGCCTTGGTGCCACAGGGGCCGCAGGGGCCCCAACCACGGCCTCAACCACGGCCACGGGCATAGCAGCGACTGCTGCCTCTGCTCCGCCGGACATTGAGGAAGCTGACAGTGGTGGTGGTGGTGGTCGGGTCAGAGAGATTTTAAGCAAGGACCCACGCTCCGCTTGCCCCACCTGGAGGGCGCAGACGACCCACATCTTGAAAAGCCTTGCAGAAATACCTTTTGATCCTGTGTCCCAAGCCACTCTTGACGCTTGCCACCAAGGCGACCAATGCTGCATTTGTCTGGAATTCTTTTCGGAAGCAGGCGCGAGCCATCGGGAGCCTTGCCCCGGTGACCCGACGGATGGGTCAGAAATGGACACCACCGACCTCAATGACGAGGAGTATTATTCATCGGTGTCATCGCACCCAGAAATAGTGCTGCGCTTTCCCTGCTCACACCTTTTCCATGGCAACTGCGTTTTGCCAGGCATCAAGAACCAGTCGTTCCGTTGCTACGTGTGCAGTGCCGTCCACGGCAAGCCTCTGACCGGCAACCAGCCCCCTGGAGAAATGCGAGTGCACCTTTCGCAGCAACCTCTCCCAGGCTTTGACTCGGTTGGCCACTACATTATCGACTACGAGTTTCCCCCTGGCCTTCAGGTATGGTTCTTGTTGCTTCCCTCCCTTCTTTCCGGGTCTCAATATGTCTGATACCCTGCAACCACACCCCCCTTGCTTTGTCACATACCCATGAGATGCTGATTGCACGCATGTTTTGTATGCAACGGTCGACGCTAGGGTCCCGAGCATCCCACGCCGGGTGCCTACTTCAATGGCGATCGAAGGCGCGCATACCTGCCAGCCACAGACAAGGGTCTCGAGACTCTCAAGCGCTTGAAGGTAAGCCCTTCTTGTGTATCTGAGCCTGACTGGTAGCCCTGTGGCACACCACAGAATGGCACAACACCACGGCACAAGGCCTGCAATTCTCTCACGCACGCACGCACGCACGCACGTGGCACAAATTGTGGTTGCTGTTGCGTAGACGGCCTTCGAACGGCGCCTGACCTTCACCATTGGCTTGTCTCTGACACTGGGCCCGAGAGCTGGAGAGCGTATCATTTGGAACGGCATCCATCACAAAACAAGCCTTTCCGGCGGTGCCTTTGGGTTTCCAGATCCGACCTACTTTGAGCGCGTCGACGAGGAGCTGCGTGCTTTTGGCATTTAAGGCGCCCCCCAATCGTTCCAACCAAATGATCTTGCGTTGGACCTTGCGTTGGGGGTCTGGCTGGCTGAATGCCAAGAGCACGGCTGCTGTGTATACGTGCCTGTGCGGAAATGTTGAAGCCCAAAGCTCTTAGCCCAAAGCTCTTCAGTTGGAGGCAATCCACCAACAACCTGTCGCTGTTGTCAAGTGTGTGGAGATGAGATGTTTTCAAGTCCCTACACTCGCGCCGAAGTGGACCTGCAGCTGCTGTCATGTGTGTCGGGATGAGATGTTTTGAAGTTCCCACACTCGCGCCGAAGTGGACCTGCAGCTGCTGTCATGTGTGTCGGGATGAGATGTTTTGAAGTTCCCACACTCGCGCCGAAGTGAGGCTGCAGCTACGAGATAAGATTGATTTTGGTCCTTTTATTATGACCATTATGACCATTATCAATCTTTCTTGCCATGCTTTCGTGGTTGCAGCTCAGCGTCAGGTTAATGGTGGGTTGCTCTCAACTAAAGCGCCTTGTCGCGGTGAGCAATGCCAATGTTCAAAATCGCCATCAAGCAACCTTCTGCTCTCGCACTTGCATCGTGCCGTGCTCACATTCCTTGTCAGAAGTGCTTGTGCGTTCATTTATATTCCTTTGCAATGTAAAATTGACTTCATTTCACCAGCCAATCAGACCAACTTTTGTCGTAGCACTCTGGCGCTCGCATCGTCGTGTTTCATAAGGGCTTGTATTTGTTTGCGTGCTTTGATCTTGTGATTATGGCGAGACGAGGCGAGGCTTGTCACGAGTTGTCGAATGTACACCGCGGGTTCGCGACCTGCAAACAGTAAATGGACCAAAGCTTTGTTGCTTCTTTTTGTCCGGTTGCTGCTCGCTCAGATCACGGCAGTAGCAAGACCGCACCCCGTGAAGCTCAGCCATAGCCGCGTGACGGTTCCCATATGTTTGTCTAAAATGAGCAAGGGCCGCCTATTATCACATCACATCCTCTAAAATACAACTCACAATCATCGTTGACAACAGCTGTTCAAACCAATTCATTTGTCTCGTCTGAAGCACAAAACCGACACGATGGCGTCGGACGGCAGCCGACCGGCCAAGATGGCCAAGGTGAGCGCAACTCTTTCTGGTCCCTGCCCTGGATCACTGAGTCATCAAGTGGGGGACATGACTGTTGAGGTGGCATCGCGGGGATCAGGAACACAAATAAGGGTTGTCTTCTGCATTCAGGCTTTGGGGGTTTGCTGCCTGCTTTCTTGCTGGTCCCGAGGTTGCCGTTTGCGAAAAAAAAAAAAAAAAAAGTGCAACGCTGTTCAACGTCGGCCGGGAACAGCTGCAGGCCAGGCTCCCCAAGCCAGCTACCATGCGAATTTCGGATGGATACATGGGGTTGATGACTTTTGTGGATTCATCAAGGACTGCCCTCGGCCCTGGCATTTTGAGACTCGCTCGTCCTCGCAAGGGATTGGAACGCACATCTGCTCATCCGTTTTCCTTTTTTTTTTTTTTCTTTCTTCTTCGTCTTCTTTTGACGGCGTGGTGGCATTCAGGTCAAGAACAAACATGCGGCCACCATTCAGATTTCGGCCGAACAGCTTCTGCGCGAGGCAAACGAACGACAGATCGAGTATGTGGCTCCCGTGCCCAAGCAAAACATTACCGATCCGCAGGAGCTAGAGGAGTTCAAGCTGAATCGTCGCAAGGTTGGATGAATGTCGTTGTGCCTCCCTGCTCGTTGCACCATCTTCGACAGAGATGCACCTCATCTCACTGGGGGAAACGGAACAGATTCATGCTCACCCCGTGCTACTGCTTGCCTTCTTGACTTTGGTTCTCTGTCTCTGCCCGGGTGTGTCCCAATGGCCGACTCCTTTTAGAACTATGAGGATAACATCCGCTCCCGACCCGATGAGATGCCCAACTGGGTCAAGTACGCCGTGTGGGAAGACTCCCAGGGCGAAACGGAACGGTGCGTTGTCACACTCTTTCATCAGCCAATCCCGACGCGTGTCACGTCGTCTTGCTTGCTCTTGGCTGCGCCTCTTCCGTTCTGGTTTCAGTCTCAACGCCTGGTTTGTATTGATGCGCCTTCACGCACTCGTCATGCAGTGCTCGATCAGTGTTTGAGCGCGCCTTGGACGTCAATCATCGTGCCATCACCGTCTGGCTCAAGTATGCCGAAATCGAGATGAAAAATCGCCAAGTCAACCACGCCCGCAACATTTTCGATCGAGCCGTCCTCATCCTGCCGCGCGTCAACCAGTTTTGGTACGTCCATTTGTTTTTTCTTCGGTGTCTGAGCCCCCTCTCCCCCGTGTCCCGGGTCGTTGGGCAACGCACCGCAACCCAGTTTGGTGGTTCCATGCCGGCGTTCTAACGATTGTCCAATCTGCACAGGTTCAAGTACACGTACATGGAGGAAAAGCTCGGCAACATTGCTGGCGCCCGCCAGATCTTTGAGCGTTGGATGGAGTGGCATCCGGATGAGGACTGCTGGTTTGCCTACATCAACTTTGAAATGCGCTACGGCGAAGTGGAGCGCGTACGTGTCGCGCCCAACACCCGGCCATCGTCCATCTCTTCCATCATCAATACCGCCAGCTCTGTTCGTTCTTACTTATTTTTTTTCGCCCACGCAGGCTCGTGGCATCTATGAGCGCCTCATTGTGGATCACTGTGAGCCAAAACACTGGATCAAGTACGCCAAGTTTGAGCTCAAGAACCGTGAAAATGACAAAGCCCGCGAGTACGTGCTTCAGCCCTGATAGTTCAACTGTGTTCACGCGATGCCACGCCATCCCTGCCCCCAATACACTTCGTGCCATGTCAACATGGTCGAGCTTGTGTGTTCCTTCCCCAGCTCTATCATACGGTCTCTGTTTTATTCTCACTTCCGCGCGATTCATTGCGGCTGCCATACACAGGGTCTTTGAGCGCGCGGTCGAATTTTTTGGCGAGGACCACCTGGACGAAACGCTTTTCATTGAGTTTGCCCGCTTCGAAGAGCGCCAAAAGGAATACGAGCGCGCCCGTGTCATCTACAAATACGCGCTCGATCGCATTCCCAAGGAGCAGGCCAAGCAACTCTTTGACGCGTACACTTCTTTCGAGAAGCGTTTTGGCAACCAAGACGGCATCGAATCCGTCATCCACAACAAGAGGCGCTTCCAATACGAGAAGGAGATCAAAGAGAACCCACACAACTACGATGCCTGGTTTGATTATATTCGCCTTGCAGAATCAGAGGGTGATGTTGCCAAGGCACGGGACATCTACGAGCGCGCCATCGCCAATGTGCCCCTCGATCAGGACAAGCGGTATTGGCGCCGATACATTTATTTGTGGGTGTATTACGCCGTCTTTGAAGAATTGACCGCCAAGGTGAGAGCATCTCGCGTTCCCTGGGCTGTTCCATGTCATTCCGAGCAAGCCATCCCCTCGCCGGCATGCCCACAAACTGGGCCGGAATCGGGCGCCTTGGCTTCATGGAGATGTGCACTGTTCGCCAATGCCACCCCCGTCACCTTTCCTCACTATGCGTGCACCTGCTGCACGGTGCGCGTAGGACGCCGATCGAACACGGGCGGTGTACCAGGCTTGCTTGCAGTTGTTGCCACACAAGACTTTTACTTTTGCCAAAGTCTGGCTCTACGCAGCGCAGTTTGAGATTCGCCAGAAGAACCTCAAGGCCGCGCGTCAGCTCCTTGGTCGGTCACTCGGACTGTGCCCCAAGGATAAGCTTTACAAGGGCTACATCGAGCTTGAACTTGAGGTACGAATTTGATTTGCGCTCCATTGAGTAGCCGACCACCCACCTGGCCCATGACTCATTATCCTGTTGACGCCCTTTTGTCCATTCGCGGATCATGATCCGTGCACGTTGCCCATATATTGGACGTATCTCTGAACGGTTGACTGTGGTGGCGACGCTTCAGCTGCGCGAATTTGATCGATGCCGAACGCTCTACAATAAGTATCTCGAGTTCAATCCGGCTACGTGCCAGACCTGGGTTCAGTATGCTGAGCTTGAGGCCGTTCTCGGGGACTACGAGCGCGCCCGTGCCATCTTTGAGCTGGCCATCGATCAACCTCTGCTTGACATGCCCGAGGTATCATCATGTCGTGATCAGCTGCCTGTATTCCAGCCTGCAGACATACCCTCGTGTATATTCATATTTTCTTTTTCTTTTCTTTTGTGTAGATTCTTTGGAAGGCTTACATTGATTTTGAGATTGAGCAAGACGAGGTCGAACGCGCCCGTCAGCTGTACGAGCGATTGCTGGAGAAGACATCCCATGTGCGGGTCTGGATTTCGTATGCGCAATTCGAGGCGTCTCTCGAAGTGGAAGACAATGCTGACCGTGCCCGCGAGGTGTTTCGACAAGGCCACAAGGAGGTCAAAAAGCAAGGCGACAAGGCAGCTCGCAAGGTGTTGCTTGATGCCTGGAAAGCCTTTGAAGAGGAGCAGGGTGATGCCGATGCACTCAAGGAGGTCACGGGCCTCATGCCCAAGCAAATCAAGCGCCGCCGCGAAGTGTTTGCTGAAGATGGCGTACGTTGGGCCTTGCCTCGTTTTGGGGTTTTCCCCCATCTTGCTGTTCTCCATCCACCGCTGCCTCGCCTTGCAATGCCACCCCCCTCCGTCATTGTTTCGTCCACCTCACTGCCATGCTCCTGCCCTCTCTGTGTGATCGGGTCTTGGCGCGTACTTGGATGCAGACGAGCGACGGCTGGGAGGAATACTGGGATTACGTGTTCCCAGATGAGGAAACGACCAAGCCTCATCTCAAGCTGCTCCAGATTGCTCAGCAATGGAAGCAAAAACAGCAGGCGGAGGAGGCGTAGGTTCGGTCCGCCCGGACGGGCTTTTGCTGCCACCTTCTTTTCTTTCCATCGTTCTTCCAGACCTCTGTCGATTGTGTGCTCGCACGAGGCTCGCTCACTGGCTCAATCGATACACAATGCTCTTCGATCTTGCTTTGCGTTGGCTGCTCCCTAAAATGAAAAGAAATACTCTCAACTGCTAATGACATGCACACGAGAATAGTTTTCTCAATTGGTTACCCTTGCCTTCCCCCTCCCCCCGCTTTTTATTCATGATCCCTGGAGCCGCTATGAGTGTCAAGAGATTCCAGTGGAGAAGCGGGCAAGGGCAAGAACGACTAGATGAAGAAGATTGAAGACACGGCTCGGCCATCGCATTGAATGCAAAAAAAAGAAAGAAAACACACACGCACACACACCAGACAAAGAAGAAGAAGAAGAAGAAGAAATAAAAAAGAAATCATATGGGCGCATGACCCCAATGCGAGGGGTATGCGAACGAGCAGGCGGGTCTGCCTTTGCGTCAAACTTAGCGACAGTTGGGGCACGTGCAGTTGCCCAGGAAGGTGCATTGTTGCACCTCTTCGACAGCTTCAGGCACCTGCTCCGTAAGTGAGCCATCTGCAGCCTCAAACTCGCGCTTATGCGCCGAGCGAGCGACGCGCCGAGCAGCACCCTTGGTCAGAGCAAAATTACCAATGGTCGTTTTGACGGGAATCAGTTTGCTCATCCGCCGCCCAGGCTTGGTGCTGGACTGTGATGCCTCCTTCTCCTTTTGTTGCTGTTCCTTTTGCCGCTGCTTGCGGGCGAGCTCACGCGCAGCCTCCTCTTCCTTTTCCTTGTCACGGCGTTCTTTTTCTTTTTTGGCTCGATCCCGACGCTCTTGCTCTCGGCGCCGTTGCTCGCGCCGCTCCTCTTCGCGCTCCTCCTGCTCCTCCTTCTTGCGCCACGCAGCGCGACGCTCGCGATCACTTGAGCGCGATACGGAGTAGGCTCGACGATCAGCGGGTGGTGCCAGTTCTTCCTCAGTGAATGGCGGGGCTGGTGCGACTTGTGGCTTGCGCATCACGGACATGCGTCGGTACACTTGTGCCAGTTCCGAGTCATTGGGTAGTTGATCTGGCGTCTTATCCAAAGATGCGCGAGTGGCTGGCTGTGTGCTTCTCACTGCCGCATCTGCGATGCTCGAGTTTTCGCCCTCGCTGGGCGGCGTTGGGGTATCGTCCGGACCTGGCTTCTTGTGCCTGCCTGGCTTGTCCACCAGTCCGGCAGTGATTGAGGACGTGGCTTCTCGCTCGCGTTGGCCATGGCCGCGTCGCTTTTTGTGCGAAGATCCAGCCTCTGACTCGGTGTCGGAGCCCTGGAAATGACTGGCCAACAGCCTTGCTACTTGCGATGCTTCCGTCAAACGCCCCTGCAGCTGGCTATCATCATCGTTGTCAGTGTAGTAAACGGACTCGGCGTCGGTGTAGGCCGAGTTAATGTCGTAATCAGAACGTGCGCGGGACTGCGCCCGGGATGCTACCGTCGTGGTGTCGTCATCATCATTCTCCTCTGCGTCATCCGCTTCTGAATCGCTGTCAGCCACGGAGCGGCTGTTTTGTAGCTCGCTGAGGTGCATGGAGACGAGATCACGCTGTCGCTTCAAGAAGGCCTTGACTTCTGCAGCCCGAGCCTTCTGCAGCTCTTGAAACACTTGCTTTTCTCGAGCACGCAAGTCTATGCTACGCATCAAGAATTCAACCTCCATCATATCTAGCTGGGCGTCATTGCGCCGCTCAGCTAGTTGTGCCTGGGCAGCGAGCTGCCGGATTGCCGTGGTATCAGCCGCGCCCATGGCCGTATCAGCTCGAGCTGCTGGCTGCCGTTGCATGGCAAACCGCAAGGCGGGGCGCTCTACCCGGACGTTGGGTGCACACTCCTATGTTTGAAAAAGAAAAGGGGGGTGGGGGGGCAAAGAACACGAGTGAATAAGAGAAGTGGCCAGGGTCCATTTGGTCATGGTGCCGGCATGCCTGAAGGCGCACTGTTCGCCCGTGGAACTGACCATGGGTACGGATTGGAAGAGGCGCAAAAGGTCGCTGCGTTCGGCCTTGGGCAAGGGGATGTCCAACAGCTCAGCAAGCTCTGCCTGCGTCCGCGGAGTCTTGCTGATGACGTTGGCTTGGCCACGCAGCCGTGTGGGTTCTGTGAATAGACTTTGGTTCGACAACAACTTTTGCCAGAGCTCAAGTTCGCCTGAACTGGCCATGGCCAAGCGGACAGGCGGGTTAGGCGCGGCTTTGTTGGAGACATCCAATGTGGTGGCCGGAGGTGCTTGCAGTACGAGGACGTGGTCATCCCAACTGGACAGAGTTTGCACTTGCAGCCCTATGATTGCCATCGGCGGTACCACAACCAAGCTACCTCCCCCATTATAAATGGAGATGATGAGGACATCATTGCAGAGTAGCAGCTGTACCGGGACTTCTGCCCCGCGCGGCGGCGTTTGCAGGCGGGCAAACGCCAAAGCCAAGAAGCGCCGCCCTGGTTGGTTGACGTCAAAATCAGCAACTTGGGTTTGATTCGTTTGAAAGAAGGAGGCGACGTGCAACGCCATGGCCAACGGGCATTGGAGTGGCAGTCCTTTATCCTGTGATGCATGGTATCCAATGATGAGATTGTCATTTTGATGGTTGCAGAAGGACAATGACGAAGGTGACACAAGGATGCTGGGACAAGAATAAGCTTGACGGATGCGCGGGTATCAAGGGATTGGAAGGCAGAAATATAGAACAAATACCAACTTTATTCGCGGCATAGTCCAGGACGCAGGCAAGGATGGTCTCGAGATAGACCACGTCCGAGATGAAGTGGCTACGAGCTTGGCGCAACCGCGTCAGCTCGTCTACCACATTGAGGCGCCGTTCATTATCGAAGCGATCCAAGAGATTGAGAAGAGCACAAAACGCTCCAGCCCGCCCGACGGCCGTGATGCCGTGTACCAGTAGAGGCTGATCAGGCTTGAGCTTGGACCGCGCATCGCGCACGCGCTCCGCAAAAGCCAAGAAGCGATGTGAATCTTCACACGCCTCGCCGGCCACCCAGAAGAGCATTTGCAAAAGCTTGACATCACGGGTGATACCAAGGTCAATATGCTTCACGCGAAGACTTCGTTCACAAATGGCCAGGTTCGTGTGCTCATGTTCAAGCGTGATCTGGAGGGGGCCAATTTCGAGAATGTCACCTTCGGAAGGCCAGTAGCGCTCACCCACAACCTGGCTCCCGTCACTGATAGTTGTGGTCATGGCTACCAGCGATACCTCTTGCTGCCACATCATCTGCCAGAAGAGGGTCAAGGTGGGCCGCTGCGGGCCTTCAGCCACAATGATGGGCATTTGCGGACTGTATGTCTGCAGCAAGCAAGCATAACCAATCATAATAATAATAATAAAAAAAAAAAAAAAAAAAAAAGGATGAGAAAACGGCGGTGATGGAGGAGGTTGGTCTTGAGGTGGACGGCGACTGAGAAGGTGAACGCTTTTGACGGGACATACCGGGATGAAAGAGGCGTTGTAGTATTGGTCTTTTTCGCCTGGGTTGGCCAGCAAGACACGATTGTACTCGTAGGGCAACAGTGTGTTGCGGCGAACGTTTTTCTCCAGGTTATGAGGAAGCATCGCTGTTTGATACTGATAAGTCAACACACTTGCACTGGCTGTCTGCACGGCCTCGGCGCGACTTGGTAAGTTCAGAATCTAGCAGCACAGAGACATGAAGAAAGTCATGAGCGCCGTGGCCGCGATTATCTTTTGCATGTCATAACAGCACAAAGAAAGCGCAACCGGAAAGCAGGGGAGCGGTTGAAAGGCGCTCACGGTGGGAGATACGCCGATAAGGGACACGTCTTGTGGGGCAAAGGTGTACGAGTCCTTTCCGACGTTGGCGAACGAGCTATCGGCGACGGAGCCCACCGCCACGGTGGAAAGGGGGTGGGATGCCTCGGGCTGGAGTGAGGTTTGCGGAGAAACCAGGCTGTAATCCATGCTGGTGCGTTGGTGCATGCGTCGCCGGACCAGAACAAGGACCAGGGCCACAAACACGCAGAGGGCGAGGATGGTGAGGACGGCCACCCAGCCCGGGGAGCTAAGATCAACGTCATTCTTGCTGGCACTGGCACCAGCAAGACCACCCGTGGTGGTTGTCGTGGCACCATCAATGAGGGTGGTTGGGGTGCTGGCCAGATAGATGGCGGCGAGGGTTTGGGAGTGAGGAGGCAGCAAGGCTTTGACATTGCTTAAGGTCGAGGCCGCGGGTACAAAGGCGGTGATAAAGTTCACGGCCTCTTGGGCGGCCACAGATGCGCCCACGCCCTCAAGTCGTAAGATAATATCGCTGTCGTCGGTATTGGAACTGTTGATAATGGCAAGGCGAAGAATGTGGTCTGGCAGGGTGGGTGCTTCCATGACCAGATAGGTCCAGGCCTCCAACACGCGGGTGGAACGGTCGTTGTAGACGGAGCGATCGGCGGCCGTCATGGCAATGGGCACCAGGACAAAGTATTGGCCGACGCCCGGCTGGTCGGTGGGTAGACCAAAGCGAAGGTTAACGTTGAGGGGCACGGTTGTGGCGAGAGGGGTCGATGTTGAGAGCGTTGTGGTGGTGGCAGCTGGGGTTGTGGCCGGTGTGGTAGATGCTTGACCACAGACACCATCTGCACAAACTCTTGCCTGGCCGTCTCGAGAGCAAGTAGTACCATCATTCAGAGTGGTGTTGACGCATGTGCCAAGAAAGCAGTATCCAAGGCTGGCGCAGGGCTCTTCGTAGGGCGAATCTAGGCATGGCGTGTAACGGGGGGCTCGAGTACAGTCTACCTGCGAAGGGTCCACCGTCGAGGTTGTAGTGGTAGTGGAGGTGGTGGTAGTGGAGGTGGAGGTGGTAGTGGTGGAGGACGTGGTCGATGAGGTGGTTGTGGTTGTGGTGGTTGTGGTGGTAGAGGACGTGGTCGTCGATGAGGTTGTGGTGGTGGAGGTTGTGGTGGTGGAGGTGGTCGTCAGCACGGGCACGCAAGCGGCAGATGCATTGCAGGCGCCACGAACTCCCTCAGTTGTGAAGCAGGGCTCATTGTTGGTTTGCAAAGCAGACTCGAAGCATTCGTTGTTGAAGCAAAAGGCTGGCTGGCAAGGCTCAGCGGCGCAGTCGTTGTCGAACGTGCAGTTGGACTGTGCCTGGACCAAGACTAGCAGGGCCAGCCCAATGACGCAGCGCATTGCAAAGCCCAAGTGACTGTGCGTCATGGTTTTGGTGCTGCTTGGTCAATGGTAGCCGAGGTGGGCCTGCAAGGCCACCGGCTCTGGCAGGGACCAAGGATGGGCGGCGGCAGCCACAACGACAAGGGCAGTTCAAATGGAAGACGTGCCCCCGATGGTGTTGAGCTCGCTTCAGGGCACGGGTCCGTGGCGTGCTTGGAAGCGGGCGTGATCTGTGCGTCGCAACTGCTGTTGAATAGCCTGACAAGTGACCTGGCTTCCTGGCGTGGCTCAGCACAGTTCCGTTGCATGTGCGAGCTGCGATTCTCGTGTCAAAGGTGTCATCGAGCTTACAGGCAGCGATGATCGGTGAACAATAGCTGCCTGGCCCCGTAGACTCGCAAGGAGGCGAACCCAGCGTGTCAGAGGCTCAACCAGCCACCTGGCACTGAGCGGATTTGCAGCAGAGGGTCGCGGGTCGCGGCGGCAGCGGTCGAGCACGCTGTGTGTGTGCGTGTGTGTGTGTGTGTGTGTGTGGCCCCTATCAAAAGTGATGGTGGGCGTGACCGCGTTGTTGTTGTTGTTGTCGTTGTTGCTTGACGGAGGTGGCTCTGACAATCAGCTACACTTTGGTTGGATCTCTGAAAAAGAGGTCAAAGTCGCTGCTCCTCTCTGCATCGCCTTGTGTTTTGGCTTGAGAATGCTGTGTGGGCTGTGATTCTCTCTGCTTGTGCATCGCATGGCTGCGCTTTCTCTTTTGTCAGATCCCTGTGTCGGGACTTTCTCTTTTAGCGTACCTCTTCACCATCCTGGCCCGGCTGCTTGATGTGTGCGTGTGTGCGTGTAAAGGTTTGTTGCGCGTTCTGCGCGCGTTTGAGCAGATCTGGTGTAGATGCAGATAAGTCACGGTGCAGGACCTCGGTGCCACAAGATCGAGGCAAGCTTAATGAGATGGATAGAGAGAGAGAGAGAGAGAGAGAGAGAGAGAGAGAGAGAGAGAGAGAGAGAGAGAGAGAGAGAGAGAGAGGGAGAGAGAGAATAATTGAGAGAGAGAGAGAGAGAGAGAGAGATCAATAGGGAGACCACTTGGGTAGGGATGTGAGAGAGACGTGAATTGGTTGTCGCGAGCCATAGTATGTAGCAAACCTGAACACAGAGCGTCATCGAGGAACACGGCGACAACACGGCACAGAGATTTCCAGAAGCCGAGGCAGAGATGAATCAAGCAGCCAGAGGACATCAGCTGGAGGGCACTGCCATTTAAAGGACCACAACGTCGGCCGCCCTTTGATTTTTTTTTCACTTCTTTTCATAGATTTGAATTATCATCCAATTATAAACCCGTCTAAAACAATACAAACCTCTTCTTCAAGTCATTCAAAGAGAACACAATGAAAATCAAAGTCGAAGTCACAGCTTGGTCGTTGGACGTATTGATGATCATGGCGGCAGGGCATCCCCGCATCAAGCGGTAACAGCATGGGTCGTGCCAACTGCCATTCTTATCATCAGGGCTTGGCCTCGTTGGAATGATGAGCGCCTTGAAGCACGTCGTTGCGATCGATTGGGTGAGTGTCAGGCAGGCACAGCACAATAAGCGAAGTCAGTGACAATTCACACTTGAAATCAAAAGGCGAACGCAGTGAAATAGTCTTACATATTTAATCTATCATCCTGAAGTCATCCGTCTTGGAGAAAACGACCCTGAAATAAGAGTTTAAGTACATCTGTTAACAAAATAAGCTTGAATTTGAGGAGGTTGATGTGAGGTTATTGTCGCTGATGTCACCCACTTGCGTCTGCTCGTCATTCACTGCTCACTTCACGTTCACACACCCCAAACGAGCACTGACACCTCTCGCCCCTCGCCCCTCGCCCCTCGCCCCTCGCCCCTCACCCCTCACCCCTCGCCTGTCGCCTCTCGCCTCTCGCCTCTCGCCTCTCGCCTCTCGCCTCTCGCCTCTCGCCTCTCGCCTCTCGCCTCTCGCCTCTCGCTCCTCGCCACTTGCCTGGTACTTTTCACTCCTCAGCCGAGCACGATCAGATTGGCTCACTTTTGGCGAACCGAGGGGGGTTTTTTTTTCCCCGGCTCGGTCTCGCTGCGCTGGGACGCGGGCTCAACAGCTGCATCAGCAACAACCACAGCGTTCTTTCGTTCAGGACTCGGGTCACCTCAAGCGTGTCAGCTCGCTAAATCGGAGCCAATATTTGGAGCGCACATCTCGAGCCAGCGGCATGAGCTTGATCTTGCCAAACCTTGGTCGTTGAATACCCTCGTTCCGATTTGATTTGGCTTTGGCGTTTTTGCCCCAGACACGCGCTCCGTTTGCTCCGTAACCCGCCAGCATGGCCGAGGTTAGGCCCAGTGTGTGTCCGGCCTTTGCTTCACTTGGCCTGAGGCTTCCAACGGCCACCCTCACCGTTGCAAATTGTTGTGCCGTTGTGCCTACAGAGCTGGACCCATAACCAACGCTGGGAGATGCAGGTTTGTGATGCGAAAATCCATTTAGCGAGTGCCGTCGTTTTTTTTTTCTCTCTCTCTTTCAGCGCCATTTGCAAGCCTTGACGCCGCCTCGGTGCATATCATCACCTCTTTTCTCACTGTGTCATCAACCAATGTGCAGGAAATTGTGCCCGGCATCTTTCTCGGCCCGCAAAGTTGTGCCACGTCGCGAGCGGTACGCATGTCCAGCGCCAGCACCTTCACCAGTCTGATTCATCTCGTGTTCACACCGCACACTCTGGACTTACTATTCTGAGCGCACAAATCCCTTCATCCCTTCATCCCTTCATTTCTTCATCTCTTTTCCTCAAAATCCTTTCCTCATCCTTTGCCTCATATCTGCTTCAAACTCGCCGCATCGTAGCAATCTCTGCTTGAGGCAAACGGCATTACACACATGGTCTGTGTGCGCACTCAACGGGAGGAGCATTTTGTCCGTGAGCACTTTCCCGACCAGATCTGCTACCATACCATCACCTTGCGCACGGGTGACGTGGATAACGTCTTGGTTCATCTCCCCGCCCTTGTCCAGTTTATCGACACAGCCCTGGCCCAAGGCGGTAGGTACTCTCCTCCGCGCCGTCGCTGGACTGGATGCTTTCCAGCTCGAGCCAACGCTGCTTTGCCCCCTTCCAAAAGGTTGATCACACTCATCACGTGTTCTGTCTCTCCCTTGCAAACCACAGGCCGCGTCCTGATCTATGACATGGTTTGCATTTCCTTGGCGTGAGTCCCTGCTTGGGTCCCTCGGCCTTTTATTGGCCACAATGTCCTTGGTGCTTTCTGTGCTCACATGCTTCACAAATCCAACCACAACAGGCCGACATTTATGTGCGGATACCTGATGAAGTCTCGCAGCATGTCCTTCAGGTGAATACTCTTCTCTGCGCACCATTCAACCATACCCCTCTCTGAATCCTTTGCCGAGCCGCTCAACTTTCTCAATCGTGCTGGCTCACATGCATCGTGGCGCGTGCGACTCGTTCCATCTAGTGATGCTTTGACGCTAATTCGAGATCGTCGTTACTGCTGCTGCCCCACGGACCTCTTTGACCATCAACTTCAACAGTTTGAGCATATTCTTAGTGCCGGACGTATCAACTTTGAAAGCGGTAGGCCCTGGCGGTTTTGTTCTTCCAAGACACGGCATCCACGGCGTCAAGCATTTACAACAATGCTTTGACCCGGTCTTCCTTGTGGACAGCCATTCTTGGCTATCTGCCACGGCTGCTCATTGCTCTGAACTGTTTTCCTTGCCTTTTTTCCCTCTTCTTTTAGACAAAAAAGGCGACTGCCAAAAGCGACGCATTTGTCTCAGCGATAGCGACGAGGAGGATGAGTCGGGTATGCACGCTGTGGATGACGATTCCGTGGACGACACGGCCATGGATCAGGATGAGGCCCGCCGATCAGAGGCTGTTACTCGCGCTGCACAGGGGCGGTCCCATACTCGTGGGCGCTTCGTGCCCTCGTCGTGACCAACCAGACGTTTGTAGTGTTAGCTCCCTAGTCCCTGTCCCCGACTTTTCTAGAATGTATTTGTGGTGAATGTGGGGCCCGAAAGCTTTTTGGCTGGTCAATAAATGAATGCTCTGTTGCTCTGGCACTCGAGTGTCTCGGTGCATGCGTGAATTAAGGACCCATATTCTTTCAGTCCTTACTCGGAGCATGGTGCTAAAGGCCTCAGATGGCTTGAAGAAGCATGTCAAAGGCCTTTGCAGTGTACGGCCTCTTATTTGCTCAAAGAGAACGAGTCGTGCGCCTGGAGATCGTCTCCACGGATGTATTCGCCGCGAACCTCTGTGCTTGTAAAGGCAAACCGCATGTAGCCATGGTGCGTGTCGTCCAGCACCTGCCACATCTTGGAGGGGTTGGGCTCCAGGTTTTGCGAGTTGCCAGCACCAGCCATGCCTAAAACACACCAAGTTTCAAGCCGAGTCAAGGCCTCTGCATGGACCCGTTTTGTGTGTGTGTGTGTGTGTGTGTGTGTGTGTGTGTGTTTTCGTTTTCTTTTTCGTTGCACAAAGACAGCTTTGTCCACACGTACCGAGATTCACTACGACGGGTCCAGCGTAGCCGTCGCTGGTGTCGCCGCATTTACCCCGGTACACTGTGGGTACACCCAGGTGACATATGGCAGGCATTGAGGCTGCTTCACCAAGCAGGCGGTTGTAATGCGTTTCTCGAAACCGAATCGCAGATGGCACAAACCTGGGCAGCTGCGCTGGTAAGAATGGTGATGAGCCCCCCAGATCATGTCCACCTGATGCTCGTACAGCATGTCTTCAAACGTATCGCGCTGTGCCTTTGCCACGGGCTGGTCTGCATCCTGCACAGGCATCGCACCAGAGCCACACGGTGGTGTGAACAAGAGCGAAAGGATCACGACATCGGGCTAGGCCACAATCGTAAAAAAAAAAAAGGCCACGCGTTTGGACAATGAGCTGGCAGGAATTCAAACGAACGTAGGTCGAATTGGCGGTGCTATCAATGTAAAAGGGTCGATGGCCGGCGAAAACAAGCCAAGGGGTATTCTTCCGGTTCACCTGAACAGTAATGCGCGTTGATGGGAAGGTATTGCGAGCATGAGCAACGCGATTGCATTCAAAAAAATAAAAAATCTCTGAATGAACATTGCCTAAAGCCGAGCTCCTCGTTCACCGACCTGATCGAGGTCTTTCTTGACAAACTCGTATTGAGGGCTACCCACGGAAAAGTTGTGCTCAGTGGAGATGACCACGAGGTGCATCACACCAAAGTCGAACGAATACCTAATGTACAATTTGTTCGCAGTGGGCACTAAAAATGAGCGAGTTTCGTGCAGTCCAGCAGTCATTCAAAGACCAAGCCAAAGACAAGTAAAATGGAGTGCATCGCTGAAACCCGGGGCAAGAAAAGAGTGTGAAGGAAAACTCAATGGCTGGGCCTGGGTCAAACCCACCATACGTCATCCAATGTTGGCGTGGGCATGAGAAAGCGAGTTTCGTAGGCAACGCCGCATTCACCGCCGCTGTCAGTGCCATGCATGGCCGACGTGGTGTTGGGCCAATCGCGCTCATGGTTGCCAATCCTGCATGACCATCACCACAGAACAAGTGAGGTGAGATGTACAGCCAGGCATGTGTGAAGAGCTTGGTTGAAGAAGTGCCTTACGCAGTCATGTACGGCAAAGTCGTAGCAATCGGCTCAATCTGATCATGAAATTCCTCCCACTGAGACTCGTAGCCCCGGGCGTAGGAGATGTCGCCTGTCACACGAGTTGTCAGAAGACGTGGTCGGCTAGGCAGCTCAATGGATTTATTGCATGCGCTTGATATCGAGACGACGCATACCGTTGTGGAACAGAAGCGATTTATCCGCAAGCTCGCCGATGATGCCGTCGGTGGTGTTGCGGCTGGCCGGCATGTCCTACACGCAGCAAAGCAACAATGGCGTTGCGGCTTGAGAGTCAAAATCAATTGCGCGCGCTTTAAATGCCGCACATGAGCAGCATCAGACCTCTTGTTGCAGAGAATGGTCAATGACATGCTGGCCGAGATCACCAAAAGCAATCATGTTAAAAGCATCTCCGGTTTGGGGGCGTGTACGCAGCGAGCGCCAGGGCGAGAATGTGCTGTAGCAGTGGGAGGGTTGTGCGGTGAAACAGTGCCAGAGCCGGTAAGAGATGGAGTCAGGCATGGGGTTCAAGATGGTGAGCCTACTCTGTGGCAGCATCGCCATAGCGATAGACAACGTGGGTATTCGGAGCGAGGTTGGTCATGACCGCCGTGTACAAAATTCCAGGATCACGCCACCCAATGGTATTAGCTGGCGCACCACACATCTGTGCCTGCACCGGTTTGCGCGTGTAAGATTGAGCGCCAACTAATAACTTGACAGATCGTCCACCGGCACTGGCGAGAACAAACCCGCGTGTAGGGGGTAGCGGTGGGTGGAACAACGGTGTAGTTTGTCTCAGAGACGCCATATTGCAGCTGTGGCTGCTCTCTGTATATTTGATCAGCACATTGGTGAACAGGGGTCTGCACTGGACCAGACGGCACGAGGGAGGATGTGTTTGAAAACTTTTAAGCACGGACACAATGTCACGTACACTTTGCCGGTTGTCCAAGAGACACGCACGGAAGCCTCATCGTTGGTGAGCGCCAGACGTCCTTGCGTCGGCACGTTTGCAATGGTGTTCTGTTGACATTTGTGCGGTGCCGGGCGAGCTCCAAGGGTCATGAGGTGAAAGAGAGAGAAAATGCCAACTTGGAAGTCTTTCAGCAAGAACAGCTGGCTTTGCGGTCTTGGGTGGGGGCAGCAGCGATACGCACGGTGATGGGGGTTGATGAGGCCACCAAGGTTGGATGGTCCGGGCCACCGGTAAAGGCATGGAGGACAAAGTTCTCACGCATGTTCAGCAGCTGAAAGACCAGCTTGCTGCGTCCTGTGCACACAGGTCAGGCGGGGTGAAGAGGAGCTGCCGGCGGTGCTTGAAATCCAGAAGGAGCATCAACTGAGCTCAAGGGGATAGAGGAAAAGGAAGCGGAATACGGACCGCTGCTCAGGTACGCTGGGTCATAGTTGAGAAACTGGTATTTGATGGGTGTAGTAGCGGTGACGTCGTCGCTCGTCAGGTACAGGGCAACAAAGTCATTCTTGTTGGGCTTGGCACTTGTCACCGAGATCTCGCAGAACTCGCCATGACGCCTAATCATTACCGAAAAAAAAAAAAAAAAAAAAAAAAAAAACCGGAAGAGTTTTGGTGTCAGCCCCAAGAGGGCCACGGAGAGCGACATGCAAAGTGTGCGTGCGTGCGTGAGTGTGCGTATTGAGGGGAGGGGTCAGATGGCGGGAGGATTATCATACTGCAGGGAGGTGAGGTTGACGGAGACGGCAAAGTCGGAATCTGGCTGCAGCTCAACGCGATTTGGTTGAAAAAGGTGGAGGGCGTCTAGGTAGTTTCGGTCGATATCGAAACGCACCAGCAAGGAGTGAGGGCACAGCTCGTTATCCTTTACCCGACTGGTGCAAAGGATAAGAATCGGGTCAAGAGCCAGGCAAAGCGAGCTCACTTGGAGCAGTAAAGACGTGTCCTGCCACAAGGGAACTGCCAATCACGGCCACCAGGCACAGCAGCCAGCTCAACGATCGAGACAAAGCCATCGTGCTGACGCAACCTATCAGCAGCAATCTGCAACAAGGGGAACAAGCGCGCCAGTGTTTATCAGCACATCCATGACGCCACATGATACGCACGGCAGCACGGCAGCACGGCAGCACGGCAGCACGGCAGCACGGCAGCACGGCAGCACGGCAGCACGGCAGCACGGCAGCACGGCAGCACGGCAGCACGGCAGCACGGCAGCACGCCCTCAACCTCCGCTGAGCCTCTGCCAGCGCGCGCTGCGTCCTCATCCGTCGTCAGTCGCCGATCGCAGCACGAGGATACCGTATTGATCTCGAAAATAATCTACATCATCTCTCTACCCATTAACTCTCTCTGACTATACTGGCCAATAGAGGATCTGCATAAACCTGCCTAAACTTCGACAATAACTCCACATTGCTTCATCCCACCAGCGGTTGTGCAACTCGATGGAGCGATGCGTCACAATGTCAGATCAACAATATCAGAATGTCAGACGATACTGACGACAGATGTCAGACAGATTTGTGCGCACATTTTGATTTTTTTTTTTTTGAGTGTGTGTGTGTGTGTGTGTGTGGTCGAGGCCCCTGCTGCTGCTGCTGCTGCGGTGGCCGGTGCCTGATGGGCTGTGCTCTGGCGGTGCCTCGCCTGCCTGGTGCGGGGGTTTTTTTTTCTGTTTCATCCCTCTACTTGTGGATGAGCTGTTGAGATGTCGATGTCCAATTTCTTTGATTGATTCATCCTGCTAAGGCTCACGCTGTCGACCATGTGACATACGATGCAGGCCTGCCCAACGGAGAGCCTGTATTGCACGCACGACATGGCGGTAAGTAACGTGCAGATGCCATCCAGAACTGGTCCACACTCTGGTGCCTGACCATTTCCCTGTCCAATGCCCCGGAACCCTTCACCATAGGCTCTCAGCGACAACGTGCACGCGCTGCGGCAAACCAATCTGCTGCGCTCCATCTTGGCCCGCCTGCGCTCCAAGGCATGCTTATCTTGGCTTTGCGCTCAGGGTCTCAAGCAAGGTTTTCAGAAGATATCCTGTCATGACCTGGCATGGCTGTTGTCCCCACGTTTTGTATGACATGTAGGACACGGGCGACGCCGAGTTTGTCGCGAGTGCTGATCAAATGGCTCGCTTGGTGCTGGCCGAGGCTCTGGAATACCTACCATGTTCGTAGGCGTCTGCGGTCATTGCTGCCACCACCATCGCCATCCACGGTTCATCGGCGCCTTTTTTTCACCATTTCTTCTTTCTTGCCATGCTGGCACTGTACCAGATGAATCCCATCCCGTGACCACACCAACCGAGGCCGTCTATGAAGGGAGCAAGCTAGCCCAGCGCGTGTGCGGTGTCAGGTTGGCGACCAAACATCTAGATTATCAGCGCCATGTCAATGTCAACTGCAGCCAAGTGGTCTCATGCACCGCCCTGCCCTGCCCTGCCTTCGTTGTCCCGGTAGCATCGTGCGAGCGGGAGAATCAATGGAGCACGTCTTGCGCGAGTGGGTGCCTTCGGCAGTGGTGGGCAAAATTCTCATTCAGCGCGATGAGGCAACCGCAGAACCTTTCTTTTACTTTGACAAACTCCCTGCCAACATCCACGAATGCTCGGTCGTCCTTCTGGTTTGTTCTTGGACTTGTCTCCATGTTCAAACCGCTGATGTGCCCTCGGCTCGAGGGCGATGCCTTCTCACATGCCGACTCGCAAACTATCCAATAGGATCCCATGTGCGCAACGGGAGGCTCTGCCTGTGCTGCCATCGAGGTATATCGTTTCTGCCCCTGCGTGCCTTTTTTTTTTTGTTTTTTTTTTTTTTGGTGTATCATTGCCACCCCTTGTCCTACGCAGGGTGGTGAAGTGAGTTATCGCCAACCCGTGACCCAACGCTGCTTTCGTTCAATGTAGTGTTTGGCTGCTCGTGGTGTCAAGCCCGCCAACATTGTCTTTGCCAACATTGTCTCCTGCCCCGAGGGACTGGCCTTTGTGGCAGAAAAGTACGTTCAGGAGTTGTTTTTGTTCTGATGCTTCTCTTCCTCTGGCATGAAGCCTCCCAGGTCTTAACAAGCATTTTCTGTATGGCTTGCCCTTGGCCACGCTGCTTAGATTTCCAGACGTGCACATTGTGACTGGTGTTGTGGACAACGGTCTCAACAGCCAGAAATACATTGTTCCGGGTCTTGGGGACTACGGCGATCGCTACTACTTTACCGCATAGGGTTCTTGGCGTCCCGTGTATGTTTTCGCGTCGTCAGGTCCTTGGTGCTGGTCTTTTGGTATGCGCTTGGTAGCTGGTTGCTAGAAGACCCCACTGTTTGGGGCTTGGACGCACAGAGCTTTGCTGTCCTGCTCACTCCTTGTTCGAGTCTCAACGTCATGCGCGTTGAGCGCCATGTCATTTTACTTTCAAACACCGGCTTTCTTGTTGCCAAAGCCTTGCCTTTCGATCCCTCTTCCTCAACTTGATAGCTCCAACCTTCTACCACACACGTTCTGCAGCTCTCCCCCCTCACACACACACACACACACACACACACACACACACACACACACACACACACACACACACACACACACACACACACACACACACACACACACACACACACACACACACACACCCGTACCAACAACAAGAGACGAGAGGTCGAGAGACCGAGAAACAACAAGTCGTGCTCTCAAGGAAAGCAAGAAAACAAAAAAAAGAGAGCACGTGTGTGTGTGTATGTGTGTGTGTGTTTTGAGAACAACGAACCCAAAGACGTTTCTTTTGTTCTGTCAAGCCAGGGAGGGCTCAACGACGACGATGGCCAATAGCGGATGGGGTCCTGGGCCCGTTGTGGCGGGGGCGGCAGCGGGGGCGGCGGCTGTGGGCCTGGCTTGGTATGTTTGGGGCTGCTCGCCAAAGGGTGAGGCACAGGTTGCGCAGAATCAGGCGCCTCAAAGTGCAGGCGCGCGCGTGGCTGCTGAAGAGGCGCTGCGCTTTCGACGTGCTCAAGTCACCGGCGATGACCCCGAGCTGCTTGAGGAGCAGCTTTCCCGCAACAAGCTGTATTTTGGCGAAGCTGGGCAGACGGCCTTGAGTGAGGCCTTTATTGTTGTGGTGGGCCTGGGTGGGGTCGGCTCCCATGCGGCACACATGCTGGCGCGCGCCGGCGTTGGCCGTTTGCGCCTGGTGGACTTTGACAACCTGACGCTCTCGTCCCTGAATCGGCACGCCGTGGGCACCCGCGACGACGTGGGACGCCCAAAAGTGCAAGTTTGTGCGGATCATTTTCACGACGTCATGCCCGGCTGTCAGATCGAGGCGCTAGACCTGATGTTCACCTCTGACGTGGCCGAACGTGCGCTGGGCGGCCGCCCCACCTATGTCATTGATGCCATTGACGACATCAACACCAAAACTGACCTGATTCTCGCCTGCTTTGAGCGCGGCTTGCCCGTCATCAGTGCTCTGGGAGCTGGCGCCAAAGCAGATCCCAGCCGTGTCGTCTTTGGTGACATCACTGACCCTGTGAACGACCCCATGGCTGCCAAACTGCGCTATTTCCTCCGTCAGCGCCTCCACGCCGTGGACCGTTCCGATGCCGAGAGTAGGTTGCATGCATGCGGGGCTGGCTGCCGGCTCCTTGCTGAGCACCGAGCCACCAAGTTGTTGGTCAACGCAATGTCCTATATTAAATGTGACTCGCGGGGTGCCTGATTGTATTTGATGGGCATTTGCTCCTCCTCTTCTGTCTTGGTCTCATCGAGTCTCGGATCTCCTTTAATCACACGGTTTGCTGTTGATCTGGTCGCTCTGTGTAGACGCCAAGCGACTAGAGCAGTGCATTGACGCCTTTAAGGTGGTGTATTCATACGAAGCACCTCAGGCCAAGTTGGCGGCCTTGACGGCGGAGCAGCGTAGTAATCCCGAGGCGTTTGGTGCCGTGGCCAACATGCGCCTGCGTGTGTTGCCAGTGTTGGGTACCATGCCCGCCATTATTGGTATGAGCGCGGCGGCCTTTGTCATGACCCAAGTGGCTCAAAAGCCCTTTGACCCTCGCAAGCTGGAGCCAATCTCCCAGAAGTTTGCCCACAAGCTGCACACACACCTTTGCCGTCGTGAAGAAAAGGTGAGCCGCCAGGTTTGGCTCGTGGGCGTCGTTAGATGCGAACGCAGTGTTGCATGGTCAGCTTCATCCTCGACATTGGCGATCCGTGTATAGGAGTTTGGCAACCAGGCCGACGTGGGTTCGCCGATTGCTGACCAGCTGGAGGTCATGTATGTGCTCAACGACGTGTGGCGCCAGCGCAGCTGTTATCAAATGTATGAGCGCACACGGGCCAGTACCCGCAACTTGGTGTTGACTCGTTTTGACCGTAGCAAGCCGGCCCTGGCCTACAACCTCTTGCTGCTCACGGACACCGAGGCCAAGTGGCACGATGCGGCAACTGCCGCGACGGGTAGCGTGCCGGCGCTCCTCCTCGATGGCAGCGTGCACGAGTCAAGCAAGCACCAACCGAGCCTGCGAGCCTTGCGTCAGATTCAGGCCGTTCTGGCTGATCTCGAGAGCCAGTTGGCCGTCTAGGTTCCTGAGCTTTTGCCGAAGCTGACCACATCCTGTCTACCGAACCGACGCTGTAATTCAAGCTCCCGTCCAACCACATGACCCTGTGGGTCTTTCGCTTCTATCCCTTTTGTTGTTGCCGGCAACTTGCCTTGGAGGCGGCGAATAGCAGGCTCATTTTCTCGTGGTGACCTGTTGCCTCTTGCCAGCTTGTGTCTTTCTTGGTCATTTCAAATTGAGTGACCGTTTTGAGACGCTCAAAAGTGTGTGTGTGGATGTGTTCTCAATTTTAGTTTTTGGTGGGTGTCAAATCGTCTCTGGACCGAGAACGACGGAACAGAAACAGGGCCACTCGGGCACGTGACAAGCAAAAAGCACATCGGCCACTTGAGAAAGGGAAAACAAGGTTGAAAGATTAAACATAGAGGCCCTTCTCGTCGTCCATGTCCTTGACCTTGTAAGCCAAGCATGTCGTGAAAAAGGTAACGACGGTGGCGGCAATGACGAGGTTTGCGCCGTATCCTGTGGGTATGAGCAACATGTGAGCAGGAATCGAGGCCAACCAGGTAAATGGGCGCTCGTACAGCAAGGGCCATGCCATGCGAGACGAACCAAAGGTGCAATCGCCAAGCTCGAAGCGATCCACGTTGAGGCCACAATAGCAGTGCACCTCGCTGTTGGCGGGTTCGCCGTTGATGGGGCTGCGCGTTTCTTCCATACCAGCGGAAAAGGCCATGATGGCCGCAAAAAGACACAGCGCTGACAACAGGACAAAGGGCATGGATGGTGATCATGTGAGCCTGGGATCGGAGAGTCAAAGGAGACCAGGAGACACATTGGCGGGAACTGGCGAGGACAGAAGCGCAGACTGACTGGCGACGAGAATCATGGGGGCTTGCAGCTTGGTGCATTTGTAGCAGAAGAGGCAGGTGATGAGGGAGATGATCCAGGAGAGCCAGAGGATGGCCATGGCGATGCCAAGGAAAACGGCGGCGATGCGCCAGTTGTTGATGGGAATTGCATCGAGGTCCTCGCCATAGGGGTCAATGTCGCATTGGGTGTCTGAGGCATCGGTGCACTCGGTAAACACGCCGCAGGCATAGGTGCTGTTGTTGTCGGGGAACGCCTCAGCCGACTACCAAAGATGCCAGCACCCGTTTATCAGTTTGCAAGCGCAATCAAGCCCAGTCAGCATGGGATCGGAATGGAAGAGTCGGCGCGAATACCTTAATCCAGAAAGGGGTGGCGGCCGCAAGTACCGCTGCCACGGCAGAAATGAGGAGGCAGAGGCTGTACAGCCTGAGGAAGGGGCAACGGGAAGATACGTCAGCGCGGTGCAGGAGAAATCATGAGATTTCGAATTTTCGTCAACCGCGGGCGAGGCGCGGAAGCGCAAGGCGCGTGACCTACAAGTGCGTGCACAAATGGCAACCCTTTTTGGCCATGGTGATGGTCGTGAAAACGTCCTTCTAGGGCAACGAGTGGATCCAAGCAGCGAGGCAGAAGACTACAGAACCAAAGACAACAAGGATGAAGGGTCCCGTGTGTGAGAGATGTGAAGCGCGACGACGCCAAAAAGGGGCGGGACCCCTTTTGTATTCGCAGCGAAAAACAAGAGCGGCCGCGCCGTCCGTTATCCCCTGGCTCTGACGTCCAAAAGACACCCATCAACTTCCAATCCAATGGCGAAAGAATGAATCCAAACGCCCCAGCGTCCCGACGCTGCCGGCTGCCATTCCCCCACCACTTGCACGTCCACACACTTACATGCCAAGGTCTCCTCCTTTTTGTGCGTTCTCGTCGTGAAGCAGAAATTTGGAACGAAAAAAAAATGAAAAAAAAAAAAAAATGAACAGAAGAAAGAGAGAGATTTAGAGAGAGATTTTTAGAGAGAGAGAGAGAGATTTAGAGAGAGAGATTTAGAGAGAGAGATTTAGAGAGAGAGATTTAGAGAGAGAGATTTAGAGAGAGATTTAGAGAGAGAGAGAGATTTAGAGGGAGATTTATAGAGAGAGAGAGAGAGAGAGATTTAGAGAGAGAGATTTAGAGAGAGAGAGAGAGAGAGATTTAGAGAGAGAGATTTAGAGAGAGAGAGAGATTTAGAGAGAGAGATTTAGAGAGAGAGAGAGAGATTTAGAGAGAGAGAGAGAGATTTAGAGAGAGAGAGAGAGAGAGAGAGAGAGAGAGAGAGAGAGAGAGAGAGAGTGTGTGTGTGGTAGAGAGAGAGAGAGAGAGATCTAGAAAAAAAAAAAAGAGTAGAAGACAAAAAAGGCAGCGGGCGGACATGGGAACTGCTTGCTGTGGGCCACAGGGAAGAGATGGGTCTGATGGCCAAAGCAGGTGCCATTCACATCAAATTCGCATTGTAATGACGTGCTCGCTTTTCGACCGCGCGGGTAGGCGGCAGCGGCAGCCCGGGAGGTTTTGGGGGACACATGTACCCATCACCATGTGGAGCGAGCGCGCGGCTCATGCTCAGAACACGACAACATCCCTGAGCCTGCATCTTCAATCGCTTGGATTCAACGTTCAATCGCCGCCGCTCTTTCCCATGCGTGCGCTTCATCATCGGCAACCGAATCGATTGAAGCAAGAGACATTGGATCTGATCCGTATTCGAACATGAAACTACTATGCGCCGCGCCACTGCCATATCCTCAAGTCGGCACAGCACATGGCCAGTTGAGGGGGGCTTGTGGTGCCGCTCAGGCCACGCAGGCGCAGGGATCAGACGGGCCATCGTGTGCAGTGCGCGACCGTCGTCATCGATCCCAGTCGCCGTCCCTAAGCAAAGGGAGGACCACGTTTGGCTTTCTCGCAATTGATGGTGTGGACATGTGCATCAGCATCTAAAACTGTTCAAATACCTACACTTATTAACATTGAAGGTATCATGGAATCTGCAATAACCAGAACAACAGCAACAATAACTGCCATGAAAACAGATACCCCTCTTTCTTTCAAAAAAAGTTAAAGTCCCGAACACACATTGTCAGACCGTTTCCTGAGCGCGCCTTGTCAGACTTTTTTCCCGGATCGACAGGACCCACACACATGGCGAAGCGAACACACGGACAGCGCCATGGCGGCGGCGGTGGCGGCGGCGGCAGCGGTGGGCGACGAGAGCAGCTCGTGGCCCATGGCACGGTGGCCCCGATTGAAGAGTATGGCGCGGCTTTTGATCTCGTCCTTGACCACCCTGTTCAAGAAACAGATGTATGTGCTTGAAAATTCAGTTATCTCGCCTCGCATGCACGCACCCACCTCGGTGAGCTACCAGGCCATCGCACCTTTCCCGTTGCTCACATCTGATATGACCTTTGCCACAACACACTGTGCCGGGCCAAACCAGGTCGGCATCGATGCCTTTGTTTGCCCTGATCAAGAAGGCTTTCACGCCGTCATCAAGCAGCGCTACTCTGATTTCCTTGTCAACGAAATTGATCAGAACGAGCGGGTAAGGGCCAACCCCTCATTGTGTGTGTGTGTGTGTGTGTGTGTGTGTGTGTGTGTGTGTGTGTGTGTGTGTGTGTTTGTGTGTGTGTGTGACGCCCTCCCTTTGCGCAAATGCGCGCTCCTTTATACCACACATCGTGCTTTCCGCAGGTTGTGACACTCCGAAGCACCGCCGCCACAATTGCGGACGAGGACACCTTGGACCCGGACATCATTGGACTGCCACAGTTGATGCCCATGGCTAGCCTACAGGCGATCCAGGACCTCGATCAAGGCCGTCCTGATGTCAATGCCATCCTTATTTTGCGCCCCATCGCCGAAAAGCAAAAGCGGCGTGACGTTCACAGCGCCATCCGCTCCACCTGCCCCAATCTGCTCACCTGCGTCCGTAAGGTGTTCCCCGCTGAGCTCCTGACTCATGCTCGCGTTATCGAGCACGAAGAGCGTGCCAATAGCAGTGCTGTGGAAGACGATCCGGGTGCAGAGAACGACATTGTCATTATGCACCTCCGAGGCTCCCTGCGCCCTCACATTCCGGATAGCAACACCGGCCGCCACCACACCACCGCCCCCTACACGCATTTCACCATGGTCAAGGTGAACCAGGAGACGGTGCAGTGCCTTACCCAGCTGGCTCGTGCTGGCAAAATCAAGGACAGCCGCCTCAGGTATGCCGTTTTTCTTTTTTTCCTTGTTGCTGATATCTATGCGCCCCGGTGGAGCCGCAGCTCCCCCGGTTTGTGTTAACCCAACTCTGGTCGGTCATTTTAGCTTCGCCGGCACCAAGGACCGTCGCGCCATCACCGTGCAGCGTATTGCTGCCGAGCGCACGCCGGCCATTCGCATCAAGGGCGGTGCCGATCGCTCTTCGGGTCAGATCCTTGACCCATGTGCCGAGTAACGGCTTGCTCTTGCGCCTCAATGCGCTCCCCTTCGTGCTCAGCTGACCATATCACGCCGCCCCCGCCCTTGCTTGGAACAGGCATTGAAGTGGGCGACTTTGCCGATGCCAAGGATGGCCTCTCTCTTGGCAATCTGTGGGGCAACCGTTTTCGCGTCAGTTTGCTTCCTTGCACTTGCCAATGACGAAACGCTTGGCCATTCGATCCGCCTGGGCCGAGCTGTCAGCTTGCACGGGCTCACCCATGCTCCATCCTTGTCCATGACCCCACAGATTGTGCTTCGCAACGTGGATGGTAGCCCCGAGCTGATGACTAAGGTGGGTTGGACCTCTGCATCACAAGCTTGCTGCCATCTCTCGTTCTTGCTGTGTGCCTGTGGCGCTCGAATTGGGATTAAAGAGGCCTCGTCAGAGTTGCTGACCCGCTACGCATCCTTGGTTTGGTACTCCACGTTTATTCATGTGTACAGCGTCTTCAGTCGCTGCGCGAACAAGGCTTTATCAACTACTTTGGTCTTCAGCGTTTTGGTACTTACAGCGTACCTTCGCACGCCGTTGGTGTGGCGGTGTTGCAAGGCGACTACGCCGCCGCCATTGAGCTCTTGCTGATGGTAACAACTTTGCACCGCTCTGCCTGGTCCCCTGCCTTTTTGGCCTTGTCAGGCTCTGTCCATGGCACTGACTCAGCCTGTCCTGCTAATTTTCTTCCTCCTCACTGCTTTGTCATGCGTATGGGCACGCAGCCTCGGGCCCAGGATCGCGACGATGTGGTCGAGGCCCGGAAGATTTGGGCCGAAACTCGTGATCCCGCTGCCACCTTTGCAGCCATGCCCGGACATTGCAATCTGGAGCGTAGCGTCCTGCGGGCGTTGGCCCAAAATCCTCTGTTCGTGCGCTCTAGAACGACACTTTTGCACCCTACGCCGGTCGCAGGGCTGGCCTCAACACTTACGGCATCTGCTTGGGGTGTGTGTGTTTGTATTTAGGGATCCGCGCTTTGCCTTCATGCGCATGCCCAAGCATTCCAAGACCCTGTACCTGCATGCCGTTCAAAGCTACATCTGGAACCGCGTCGCTTCGTATCGTTATGAGCGCTTTGGGCGCAAGGCCGTGGCGGGCGATTTGGTGCATGCTCCTGCAGCCGCTGTTGGTGCCCCCGATGTCTTTGTGTGTGAACAAGATGGCAATCAGGTTAGCCCTATGCTCCCCAAATTTTTCATATTATCTGCTCTCGAGTCGATGTGTGTTTCGGGCTCAGGGAGGAGAGGTTTGCGAGTTTGATGCAATGCACAGCCGCTCTCAATGGTCCCTGCACTCACGTTGTTGGCATGAATTGACAATGTGTTTGGTGTTCCTGGACAGGTCCCCGTGCGTCGCTTGACAGCCGCCACCGCGGCTCAGTTTGACATTACCGAGGTCATCCTGCCGACGCCGGGCTTTGCCGTGATTTACCCGAGCAACGGTCAGTTTGACGACTCCATGCCATGCGTGTGGCGTCGCATGGCTGTGCCTCATGAATGCTGGATGCGTCTTGGTTGCGTTTGCCCATGTGCAGTGGCGACCATGTATGCTGATGTTGTGCAGGAGTTGGGTCTGACCTTGGAGCACTTTCATCGCACCTATGGCGACTTGCCGCTGTCGGGTGATTACCGCACATTGCTTGTCATGCCCAAGGATGTGGAGTGGTACGTTTCGGAGGTAGTGCATGCTGCCGTTCTGATCTCGCTTCCTCATCAAGAGTCGGGAGGCCAGCGCGACAGAGCTGCGCAAGAGGCCTTGCTTTGTCTCACTTTGATCTTTTTGGCACCCTTTCGCCTATTGCCACAATGGGGACTACGGGCTCACAGGGCTACGACGCGCTATGACACGGTGGAGGAGCCTTTGATCTGGTCTGACTTGGACTTGATGAAGCAGGGCCGCCCAACCTCGAGCTCCTTCAAGGAGAGCATCGTGCCACCGGTAGCCTCGGGCCAGTATGGTGCCCTCTTGTTGCAGCTTTCCCTGCCCTCTTCGACGTATGCCACCATGGCCCTGCGCGAATTGACGCGCATGCGCACCGACCCGTCTCACCAGGTTCGTGCACCCATGAATCATGGGCGCGGTGGGGGCATGGTCAAGCGTCAACGCCTCTCTTATTGCAACGTGTGGTTTAGATGACACTCAACGTGGGCGGGGCGCCCAGTGCCAAGCGGGTCAAGGCGGCCCAGGATGACCAACCTGGGCTTTGGACCGCTCTTCGCACCAACTGCTCCATCCAGTAGAGCCCAAAGTTAAAAGCCGAGGCGAGCACGCTACCAAGTGTCATACCTTTTGAATGTGCAAAAAAACATAAGACAAACACTGACGAGCGAACCGTAGAATTCCAGCAAGTGGCCATCAAGAATGATTGCAAACGGCAGCCAGATTGCCGAGCAGGGATGCCGGCAGGTCAGAGAAAGCGAAGGAAGCAGGCCTGGTTGAACAGGAAAATCAAACTCAGGGCAGGATTGGCTCTGCATTCAAAATCAAAAGTGATACCTTTGTGTCTCTCGGGTGGTTGTCAACCGAGAAAAAGGGCGGTCAATGACGACACTGGCCATTGACCGAAAGGCCTCACCCCCCAAGGCCCCTCACGTCCCTGACATTGCCAGCCCCCAACAACAACCATGACCCAAAGCCACCTCCCGCCAGGCGTCGCCACTGCCATTTGATCCTCAACTCTTGCCTTTTGCTGTGGGGTCTCTCTCTTTTGCTTTTCTCTGTTTGCCTGCTCTCTCTCTCTCTCTCTTTTCTTCATCTTGATGCTATTCAACACGCAGTCTCTCTCTCTCTGTCTCTCTCTGTCTCTCTCTGCCTTTCTGTCTCTCTGTCTCTCTCTCTCTCTCTGTGTGTCTCTCTCTCTCTGTGTCTCTCTCTCTGTCTCTCTGTCTCTCAAACTCTCTCTCAAACTCTCTGTCTCTCTGTCTCTGTCTCTGTCTCTGTCTCTCTGTCTCTGTCTCTGTCTCTCTGTCTCTCTGTCTCTCTGTCTCTCTCGCTCTCTCTCTCTCAGTCAGTCATTTGTGTCGTTGTCAGTGGCTCTTTCTTTCTCTCTCTCTGTGTCTTGTTCACTGTTCAAGGAAGAAAAAAAAGCTTTTTGGAGCCAAAAGGGCAGGAGCGGGATTGAAGCGACGCCTCACACACGTCGGCAGGATGGCGACGCTTGAGGAAGCCATGGATGTGGCCCAGGTATGTTCATGATATAATGCATGGCCCAGAACTCGGCATCTCTCCTTGACGGCCGTTTTGAGTCCACTGCCCTCGAGGCGGGAGGGGATTTATGTATTTTGAGTGTGTTTGTAACTGGCGTGGCACCCCAACCTGGACCGCCGGTTGCTCTGTGGCTGTGGTCTGTGCAACTGGCCGCGCCTGCATTGGTACGCTGACCTGCTCTGTTCGGCTCTTTGCTTTGCCTTGGAAACAGGATGGCGAGGTCTTGGACCAGGAAGTTCTCAACATGTCGGCTGAGGACATTATGATGCGCGTTCGTCTACTGGATGACGAGTGCAAGGTTGGTTGGGACGGTTTGCCAAACTCAGCCCCCTGACCTCGCTCCACAAACCACAAACCGTTGGGCAAGAGGACATCCCTAGTCGCAGTTACTGTGCTTCTACCTCGTGTTCGCGCGCTCACTTTGGGCCCCACGGTCTTGCGCTTTTTTTTTTTGGTTCCGACTCCACCTTGGTCATCTGTTCAGATCATGCGCAGCGAAATCTCCATGATGGAGCATGAGACCCTTACCATGCGTGACAGCATCAAGGTAGGCTTCACCACCCCCGTTTTGCTGTCCACTGCTGCCCATGTGCTGGTCTCTCCTCTGTCTCCACTGGCATCATTAGGCAGAGCCTTGCCTGCCTTTGCTTTCTTGCCTCCGCTCCCTTTTTTTTTTTTACACGTAAATTTGCTCATCTTGCACGCAACCCCGCACGCTGCGCCTCCAGGGCAACGAAGAAAAAATCAAAATGCACCGCCAACTGCCCTACCTCGTTTCCAACATTGTTGAGCTGCTCGATCAAGAGGAAGAAGAGGTTGGTCCCTGGCAAACTTGCCGACCACCAACGAACAGTCAGCCTCGCTCATGCATGTGACAAACTGCGCTCTTCAGGAGCAAGTCGGCGCCGCCGCCGATGCCGACGCCCAACGCAAGGGCAAATGCACCGTCATCAAGACTTCCACGCGCCAGGTATCAAGCTGGCCTCAACCGCTGAGATCCACAGCCTCCACGCTTGCCCGTCGCTGTTGACTGACGCATGCCATCATCTGCCAATTCTTGCTCTATGTATGCAGACGATTTTCTTGCCATCAACGGGTCTTGTCGAAGAGGCCAAGCTCAAGCCTGGAGACCTGATTGTACGTCACGTCTGAAAATTCCTCGACCACGTCTCCTTGGGAAAGCCGCTCTTTTCGTTGCATGAAACGTCATACTTGAATACTGCGCGGGCGGGGGTGAACGCGCTTGGCACTGACGTCTTTTCCTTCTTTTTCCTCTTTTGCAGGGCGTCAACAAAGACTCTTACTTGATCCTTGACACCCTTCCACCAGAGTAAGCGGCGGGTGTCCATGGACTATGGGGCCGCTGCTGTCGATCGACCAAGCTCATGCACTGGTTTCGTGCTGCACTAGGTATGACTCTCGTGTCAAAGCCATGGAGGTCGATGAGAAGCCCACCGAAAAGTACACCGACATTGGTGGTCTGGACAAGCAGATTCAAGAGGTGCGTTCATGATGAAAACCTGGCTCAACCCTTCAGCTCGCGAGTCCCTGCATTGGCCTTTATGGTCTCATGTGTCTGTGCCGCCCAATAGCTCGTTGAAGCCATTGTGCTCCCCATCACACACAAGGAAGCCTACAAGAACATTGGCATCCGGCCGCCCAAGGGCTGCCTGATGTACGGCCCCCCCGGCACCGGTATGTCGCTGGCAGTTGAATAGCAGAGCATTCATCTCTTGCACCGTGGACTGGCTTTTCAAAGCCTCTTCTCCCTTTCCCCCCCTTGAACATGCACTTTGTTCTCCTATGCCTCTCGTCAAGACAGTTTTTGTTGTTAACATGTGCTCTTCCTATAGGCAAAACCTTGATGGCGCGCGCGTGCGCGGCCGACTGCAATGCCACATTTCTGAAGCTGGCAGGCCCGCAGCTCGTGCAAATGTTCATTGGCGACGGTGCCAAGCTTGTTCGCGATGCCTTTGCCCTGGCCAAGGAGAAGCAGCCCGCCATTATCTTCATCGATGAGCTGGATGCCATTGGCACTAAGCGCTTTGACAGCGAAAAGGCCGGTGACCGTGAGGTGCAGCGCACCATGCTGGAACTGCTCAACCAGCTTGATGGCTTCCAGCCCAATGACGAGATCAAGGTCATTGCAGCCACCAACCGTATCGACATTCTTGACCCGGCCCTGTTGCGCTCTGGTCAGTCGCTTGCTGGTTTCTACACGGTCTTGGAGCTGCTCGCACCGACTTTTGGTCAAACTAGACATGTCATTGCCAATTGTCACCCCCAACCCTGGGTCTCTCATTTGCGTCCCATGACCTTCTTGGTGTTCTTCGCAGGGCGCCTGGATCGCAAGATTGAATTTCCCCACCCCGACGAAGCAGCTCGTGCGCGCATCATGCAAATCCACTCACGGAAAATGAACGTCAAGTGAGCCTTTGGCCGTTGCCCCCACCCCTTTGCTGAGTTGCTACAGTGGTGCCCGTGGACCATCTCATCGTCGTCATGTTCCCGAACCCATCCGACAGCCCTGATGTCAACTTTCAAGAGCTGGCCCGATGCACTGACGACTTTAACGGTGCTCAGTGCAAGGCCGTTTGCGTCGAGGCTGTACGTATCGGCACGCCTTCGCCCTCTCGCTTCACGTGCCCTTGTTTCGCAACGGATGGTGCCCTTACCACTTGGCGTCCGTGTTCCACAGGGTATGATTGCTCTGCGTAACGAAAAGACGGAGGTGCATCACGAGGACTACATGGAGGCCATCCTGGAAGTGCAGGCAAAGAAGAAGAAGGATCTCCAGTACTACGCGTAGGCACGAAGCCGCCCTTGGAAAGTGCCCGTCTCTTTTTTTTTCTCTCTCTTTGCTCTCGGTTGCTGGTACAGTTTGATTGCACAGGCAATTCGCTCACCGCTCAGCGGTGTACCGCCCATCAATTTGGACATGGCCACGTCAAAATTGAAACTGTAAATGCCACTATTGTATGCAAGAATCAAACGCGTGTCGATTGCACACGAGTGCGTGCTGGTAGACCCGCAGCTGTGCGTGTCATGGGCGCGTATGCCTGGAATGGCGGCTATTCACGCCGCTGGCGTACGATATGCTCTGCATGATCGTCCAACCAATGTATCTGGTTCTACACGTGGGAATAAAAATCCAAAAAAAAAAAAAAATAAATAAAATAAAATTGGGGTGTGCCACGAGTTTGGAAGGGGCCAAATTGCTCTTGTTTTAAGCAAGCCGAACGAGCACCCATCGAGCCGTACCTTGCCGGATGCTGTAAGTCGGGCCAACAACCGAGCGCTGCAGCTGGCGCGCCAGGCCCAAAGATCCACGCTCCAGCCCGCCTCAAGCAAGCGGTCCACGACCTGTGAGCAGGGGCGAATAAGCCCCGCAAAGCAAGGTCAGCTTGTAAAATCAACCGAAGGATCATGCTGCATCAGCCGAGCGCGAGGGGTCAGACTTACCTGCGCAAAGGAGCTACCTTGTCCGGCTCGGTTATCGTTGCCATCGCCTGACACTAACACTAACCAGCCCGCCACACCGGCGACACCACAGTCACAGAGGGATAGAATGTGGCCGTGCAGCAGATCGTCAACATCAGCCTCCCCTTGACCCTGCTGTCGTCGCTCTGAGACGACATCCACGCCATAGTCTCTATTGAACAATAGACGGCATATTGCTCGCGTAAAGGTCACGCAGGGTCGCTCATGCTCGTTTTGGAAATGACATTTATATCCACAGCTGTGCTGTGGGGTGATGGTGTGACCCAAAGTCACTAATCGCAAAACCTGCGGATCAGAAGAACGTACCGTAGCTCATCCTGGTAGCGAAACGCCATTTGGGACCCCACCGCACAGGCTGTTTGAAATCCTCCAGGATGTGCTGTGAGCAGCGCTTCGGCAAGGGCTGACCAGATCACTCGATGGTCCTGGTGATGAAGTCCTAAGCATGCCATCACCAGGGTAAAGGTTGATTACTCCAGGCACTGATGCCAAGGGGAAAGTCACGCTGGCAGAGAGTTTGCGCACCTTTATAGCCGGTATCCATTTTGGTTCCGACCTCAAGATTGGTCCAGTCAACTACAAGGTGTGACGTGCTCGTAGATTGCAAAAAAGATTTGCAGATCCGGCTGCGCTGCCGCTGCGCCGTGTGACGGGCTCTGCAAACGCCGCCGTGGGTCATCCATTTGAGAAGAGGCCATTCCGATTCTTTGCCGCAGCAGACGGATTTGAGCATCTGGCGGGGAACATACTTTTCCACCTTGGCTTGAATTTCTGCTTCCAAAGCGTTGAGCTGATGGGTCATACCGGTGAGCACAAGAAAGCTGGTTTGGTCATCGTAGCCCTTTGGTGCGTCTACCCGCACGTCCGGATAGGCTGTCTGCCATCTCTCCAGATGGCTTCGGCGCGGGCCGCACACATAGCCAAAAAATCTGGCAGCGGCAAGGAGCGGCAAAATGAGAAAATGACTCTTTCTCGCCATATTAAACAGCGGTCTGGTGCAAAGCTCAAGCACGCTTGAACTAGCGAAGGACGCCGTGGCAAGAAGCTCCGCACCGCGGCTCAATGTCAATGACACGCTGTTCCGTATCTGCTTTCGCTGCAAATGAGGGTGTCGGCGTGGCTTTCGGCTCTGTTTCGCTGGCCCTGGGATGTTTCGGTGCATCGACCATCGATCGTTCACGCCGAAAAGCCGCAACCTCGGCCTCCACCAAGGCCCGAAGCTCCTCATCCATGCTGGCGTCCAACTGTGACGGTGTCGTCGCCGTGCATGCAGGTAAGCTTTGCAAGTTTTTCAAGAAGAAGATAAAAAAATAAAAATGAAAAACAACAAAATCTGCGCCATCAAATCGAGTTTTTTTTTGCTTGTTTTTTTTTTATGTGACATCCTTCAAGATTTTGGATTGGTCGATTTGCGTTGCACACATGGGGCCACGCAAGGAGGGCATGTTCGAGGGATATAAACACAGACATCTTTCTGGCAACGAATCGAATGAGGCGCAGCTCTCAATCACTGCTCAGCAATGGAAGGGGACGACGCGGCAGTGACAATACAAACAAACAAAAATAAACATTACACAACAACAGGCCAACGCCACGAAAGGAAAAGGCGAGGCTATCATAGAAAAAAAAGGTGGGGCGTACATACCCCATGCAGTCAACTCGAACAAACAGTCGCGGAGAGCAGACACTCACAAATCCACACATGGAAGAGCACACATTTAAAACTTTTTTTTACTCGCGTGGTTGCGAATCGGAGCCGCGCGACAGGCGTCGCATTGTTGCACGGGTCAGGCGGAGAGGCTCTGGCGAGGATGACCGTTGTGGTGTTGGCACCGAGTTGGATCGACGCTGTAGCCGGGTGCAAGGAGGATGTTGGTGCATGAGTGAATGCGGATTGCCATGGGCCCCAAGTATAATGAGGGGCCCGCTATGCTGGCTCTGGCTCGAGGGGGTAAATTCACATACCCGACAGACTCGACGGGGGGCAGGGGTACCGGTGCTTGGGGAAGTGGCAATTCTGGCCTCGTTGCCGGAGGTCATGGACGTTGAGTCTACGCTAGGGTGGCGACGCTTTGCAAGGCGTTCACCAGAATCAGATGACGCCTCGGAAGCTTCGTGCACACCGCCTGACATGGCCTGCAAATCGGGAAAAAAAAAAATAAAATAAAAAAATAAAAAAAATGAGCAAGCAGCACAATTAATGCCTCAGCCACGCCAGCTTGTCTTTTGTTGTTCAATCGTACTGACACAATTCCGTTTCACTTACCGTGAAGGGGGTGGATGCACAGAACAAGTCGTTTGAGTGGTAATCGTTTGTCGTAGAAAGAGTAAAGAGAAAGTTGGGTGGTGACGGGGCGCGCAGAAATGGATCCTCCAATAACGGAGCGGGGGCTTCTGGACGTTGACTGGGCAGTGCTGCCTCCACGGAAGCAAAACGTGGTTCAAGTGGGGCGAATGGAGCAAAGGGGAGCTCTCGCACCGTCGACGCGGGCGAAGATGACAGTGCTTGGACGCCTCCTTGAGCTGTGAGGCCCGAACGGGTGGCCGGGCGTGGAGATGTTAGGCGCGAGGTTGATGGGCGTTCGGGCGGCTGGTGATGGGGACGATGGCGGAGGGAACGGCGTCTGGTGATGCGCAAACGGACGCGAGTCTCGTTTGGCGAAAAAGGCTCCGCGTTGGTTGTGGTCATGGTCGTGGTTGAGGAGGAGGAGGAGGAGGAGGAGGCGGCGGCGGCAGCAGCGGTGGCCGTAGAGGTGACACCGCCAATCGGTGTCGTGGTGGGCGGTGTTGTCGCTGTTGTCGCTGAGCTTGAGCGCTGATCGGGGCTCGGCAAGCGGTCAGCCAGCGCATTGCGCAGGAAGCTGGCAAAGTCAAAGCGGCCCTCTATCGCTGGGATCGAGGGCATACCGACTTGCGATTCCGCTTCAGCTTGGGCAGATGGGTTTGAGGCCGGGGTTGAGCGAGAAAACCGACGGGGAGCACTTGCGTTGCGCCGTGCAAACATGCGGGCTTGAGCTTCGCGACTGTTTTCTCTGATGCGGTTTCGAAGTCGGGAAATTCGTTGCTGGGTCGCAGACGGCGTGGTAGATTCGGCTTCGGCATCGGGTCCATGACCCTGAAAGGCCATGACGAGGTGTGGAGCACCATCATTGCTGTCGCTTTCCCGGATGAGAAAAGAAGGGGGCATGGCCGCGCCAAAAAACAACATTTGCATTCTTAAAAAACCACGGACAGGGGATTGAGGGAGGAACAGATGAAAGAAAAAAAAAAAAAAAAAAAAAAAAAAAAAAAAAAAAAAAAAAAAAAAAAAAAAAAAAAAAAAAAGAGCGAGTGAGGGGAGGGGGAGAAAACGAGGCCAACGACGGGGGAGGGTGGGTTCAAACGTACAGTAAGTTGGGCAGACCCAAGTCCACTTGGCGCCGACGTTCGGCGCGGCTTTCGAGGAATGCGGGCCAAGGGGTAGAGTCGAGCGACTTGGAATGGCCTGCCGTGTCAAAGTAGTTGATGACCGCCAGTTCGGCGCGACAAAGGGGGCAGGTGGCGCTGAGCGAGTGCGCATGCTGCCAGGCACAGTCGTGGTGAAAGATATGGTGACACTTTAGCTCAACGTGATCTCGCTCGCAGAGCACATCATAACAGATGACGCAATTGTCAGTCTTGGGATCATTTGTGGGGGCCATGGATGGGGGCTTGGAAGGAGTTGCATTGGCAGAAGACGACGCCATTTCGACGGGTAGCGGTGTTGATCTTGTTTCAAAGCCGTAGCAACTGCTTGGAGGGAAGGGAGAAACGGAGAGAACCGCTGCAAGGATGGCAGCAATCAACTTGGTGCGACGGCTGTCCAATGCCGGTCTTCTTCTTGGTCGATAACCTCTCCGCCAAGCGTTGCTTGCTTTTGCGCACAGCGACGCCAGCAACGTCAATGACAGCGACAATGGCAGCAACACAACACAAACACCCACACAATGTGGAGAAGAGCGTTCGGCCTGAAAGCTGCTTTAGCTCAAGTCGGCAAAGAGGCTCGGGTACCGACGGCGGCGGCGGCGGCGGCGGCGGCCACCACGTGAAGCGCAGCGGTGGCGGTACGAGTCGTGCGGAACGTTGTGAGCACGGTCAAGCGCAAGCATTGCAATTCCGGCCTCGCACCATTCAAGTTGCAAGCGAAGAAGCAAGAATGGGATAAGGGCAGCCGAAGCAGAGCCAAGAGCGCAAAGTCTCAGCGATTACAAAAGGCAGGTCCAAGACGTAGAAGAAGAAGAAGAAGAAGAAGAGGAGTGGTATTTGCCGACCAATACCCGGGACTGGCGCGGCGCGGCGCGGCGCACACAAGACGCGCCAGGCGGAGAAGAAGGTGCTCGTATTGTTTACCTCCAAGAGGGCGCGTCCACCCACAATACAAAACCGAGCGCTCTCACAATCAGCAGCGCGGTGTCCACCGACAAGAATTGCTGTGCTGGAATGGATTAGCCAAGAGCCAAGGGCCAAGGGCCAAGAGCCAAGACCGTGACACACCGTGCAAAAAACTGATCAACCCGACTGCCAAAAAACAAATGAGAGAGAGAGAGAGAGAGAGAGAGAGAGAGAGAGAAATAAAGCACAACTACCACATGAGAGAGAGAGAGACAGAGAGAGAGAAAGGTATCAACAGCAACAAGAGACAAACAAAACAAAACAAAACTAAACAAGGGGGTAATTGTTGACATTTGAGAGGTTAATGCAGAATTATAATTCTACATAACGGTAATCACCTTCACGTAATATACGGTACATGTAGAGAAGATGCAGCAGCGCATGTTGCTCCTGCACATCACGGCTCCTCTGCGATGAGCAGCTATAAAGTTTTACCATGTCAATAATCACACTTTAAAACTATAAAAGTGTGAAACAAGACTCACTCTGATCAACATTGTAACAAAGCGCTTACCTGTAATACGTCGCGAGTTACCTGTGCGCGTTACTGCAACCGTGGATGGAAATTCAGTAGGCGAATGCAGTGACCTGTCATTTTTCATGTCCATGTCAGCTCGCAATGACTTGGCTGGCGGTCGCAAAGCAGATGAGCGACGGAGTGGCGGGCAGCAAGGGTGGAACAAACTCGCAACAAACTCAATTGGGGGCGGTGATGACGACCCTGCGACTCGCTTTATAAACCAAGACGCGAGCCAGCGCACAAGTTAATCATAGGATGCTCAGACAATTCACAAATCTGCTCGCCTCAACATGGCGACAATCACTCAATACTTTTAGATTCGTCCACAGAATGGTCGACTTAAAACTCAAATTCCTTTTGCATCCAAAAGGAGCCCGTGCCGTGTCCCACAGCCGAGGACAAGAGGGGTGGCGAGGAGGCCGCTGTCGTAACAGTGGGTAAGCGATGGTTGGTGCCCGAATAGAACGCATCATCATCATCATCACCGCCATCATCACCCCCATTGACCAGGTCATACTCAACCTCGCCGTCCATGTCCCATGAGGCGTCGGCCTCCGCACCTTCCTCCTCCGCCTCGGCCAGGTCGTGCACCTGCGTGCCATACAGCGGGTTGCGTCGATGCACGCCCATGGCCAACGCCGTGTCGTAGATCGAGTCCCGGCCAAAGCGATTGTAAACCGACTCGCGTTGCTGAATCTGCAGCTCTTGCAGCTCGTGGTAGTTGGCCACAAACGCATCCAAAGCCTGGCGCTCCTCGCCCAGGCGCACGGCGTTGAGCGTGGGGTGCAGACGTTCACCCAAGCCCACGCCCGTGCCTCCAAACTGGTTGACAAAGCGGCCCAGCGCCTCCTCCACAGCCGCCGCCCGGGGACGCAATGCCGCGTCGCCCGTCCAACAGTGGTGTAGCAAACGATACACCTCACTCGGGCATCCCCGTGGCTGTCCTGGCCGCGTACCTCGCGCAACCTGCTCCTGCAGCTCCTGCACGTGAAGTTCCGAGTAAGGCGAGCGGCCCGCAATCAACTGCCACACCAATACCCCCAGCGCCCAGACATCGCTGGCCTCGCTAAAACACTTCTTCTCCTGATTAAACGTCTCTGGGGCCAGAAACCGCATATTCAACCGCAAACGCTCGCGAAGCACATGGTGGCGCGTGCCCCGATCATAGGGCTGCGCACTGCTAAAATCTGAGAGCATGATCAAATTGCCTTGCCCCAAACTACACGTCTCCAAGCTCAGGCCCAGGTAAACGAGCTCGCGCCGCGCCAGATATTCCAGCCCACTGGCCACTTGCCGCCCCAGGACCAGCGCGTCCGCCAGCGTCACTGTCACACGCTTGGCACGACACGCCGTCAGCACGTGATGCAAGGGCCCATACAGCGCGTGTGTCTCCATGTAGAGCCACGGTCGCTGAAGGAGACTCACGCCCAGCAGGCGTGGGATGTTGGGGTGATCCAGCTGCAACAACATCGAGCAGTGACGCAAGGCCAGATCCTGTTCCAGCTTGCCAGGCTCGAGGGCCATCACCGTGGCCGTGGCCAGCTCATACTCAAGATTAGCCACAGACACCTCTTCGGCGTCCAAGTGCCGATCGTCCAGCAGTGAGTTGAGCACGGCTACGAGGTGACATCCTCCAAAGCGCCCCATGCCCAACGAGGTGACGGGTGTCACAAAGAGTCGATCCACCTCACGCGCCAATAATGTGGGCGGTACGGCGGCGACGTCTTCAGGGGCGTCGCGTCCCGCCACGAGCGGGTTGCCCTCGTTCTCCTCCTGCAATAAACGCACGCGCCTCAACTGCTCCAGAAGTGCATCGGCCGCACCTCGAGCTAGCCGAAAAATGTGACATACGCTGTGGTCGACCTGAGAATTGCGCTCCACAATGCCCAGCACTACGGGCTCATGCTCATCACCCGCCCTTGTCATGGAGTCTTGCTGCGGCGCGTCCCCATTCACATGAAAGCAGTGGTGGCCCACGAGCACGGGAAGTGCTATGCTGGCGCGCACCATGCGGGTGCGCAAATCCAAGGCTCGAGCACCCTGTGCGTTCACGACCAAATGGATGGGACTGCCATATTCTTCAGAGGTTGCCGCGTTGCCTCGGGCCTCAGCAGCGCGCTGTTGCATGCTCTGTGATGCCCGTGTCCACACACAAACGCAACCGAATGTACAAAGGGGTATGAACGGACGGTTGGGCAGTCAGTCTGGCGATGAGACAATCCAAACCATGCACGGGACAGCCGTCTCGTCTCCTCCAAAAGACAATCAACATCTCCGGCGTTGAGAATGCGACCAACCTGGTAGCGACTAGAGAGCTTGGCATAGGCTTTTGTCACGGCATGAGGAATATCTGCCGACAGGCAGGTCATTTGTCCTAGGAAGTGCGCGTCAGCCATGGTGGCATTGGCCGTCAAGACGGTGCCCGCGGGTGCTTCTGGTGCCGCCTCTGCACCATTGACGCGCCACCGCGCCATCCGCGCCCCGATGCCGAGCTAACCACGCGAAAGAACCAAGACAAGGCCAGTTCAGGTCAGCCACGCTGGTCAGACACACCGGACAAAACGCCAACCCCGTTTTTATTCCTGCCAGAGTCGGACCGGCCCTGCGTCTCAGTTTGTCTGTGGGGTTACATGAGCGTTCCTACCCACCCGGAGCATGAAAAATCGGAAGACATGCTCGGATTTGCTTTTGGCATAAAATGCATGCACCAAGGCCGGGGCCGTACTTGTGTCCAAGCTGCATCGGACGAGAAGAGACCGAGAATCGAGAATGAGCGAGGTGCGGCGGTTGTGTAACATGCATGAAAACTGGGGTGCCCGTCAGCAGCACGAGCACAGATGAAGTCGATGGGCACGTACAAGGTGATAATGCCTTCCTTAGTGATGCTCGCCCAGGTGATGGTGGCAGCTGGGATGTTTACGAGAGAAGCGTTGGTATGTTTGCCCAGCATGACCAGTGTACCTGCATGAAGCTCAAGGGTCACCTAGATCCCCAGATGAGAACAGAAGAACGCAAAGCGAAAAGAAGAAAAAGAAAAAAGTCCATCATTTTATGTTAGCATGTCCAAGTAGCATGGCCGGCTGAGGCGTCGCTGGATGTTCCAAAAGGTGGCCAGGGGTGTGTATAAACAGACCTTGACAACCTTGCGGCGCTCAAGGAGAGCGCTCGCCACATCATCAGCCAGAAGACCCTCGCCTGTGGTAGACTCGGTGGGAAATGAGCCCAGGTAGCGCACACTTTTGAAGACTGCCACAGAACTCGAGTTGTGTCGGTCGGCCATGGTGGCCGGTGGTGGATGCCAGTGAGCTCAAGAAGACGAGGGTGATCGAGACAGCAGTTGACGAATAAAGCTGTGCCTGCAGGAATATAATGCAATGATGTGCAGGGATGGCTTTAATGCAGACTTGTTGCCGGCTGGTGATGGAAAATGCTGCGGCTGTTTGTCGGTCGGAAGTCTACTTGTCAAGGGTGCATCCGGATATATGCAAGCCCAAACTCAAACTCGTCGGAATTGACGGGTTGTGGCCGCGCAGAGATGGGAGAAAGCCGAGGCTTTTGCCAGGTGCGTCCCCTTAAATATTGCCCAGGGGCATTGGCAGGGCAGGCAGAGGACAATGGGAGGCGAGAGGTGGCGGTGGGTCGGGGCCCTTGTGGTTCGTGGGGCCCGAGTTGAGTGTCACATGCAAGTTGGGTGCCACTTTGCTGCCCATCCACAACTCTTGTTGGATCTTTGCACAAGTGAACGGTTGGGATGCGCGGGAATACAGGGTAAGAAGGCTGCAGGCACGGGGCCGGGCAGGTTTCCTTGTTTGGAGTTGGCGGCCTGCCAACCACACAGGCCAGACAACCGATGAGCGATGCGTGGTGGAAGCGCTTGCAGGGTGTGAACAGTCTCAGGCAAGCGCAAAGGGAAGCACCACCAATTCCCCGTGAGTTAAAAGGATGAGTTGGGGCGCTTCACTTTGTGGGGCCATCGCCACCGGATCGGCACGCACCCAAGACGATGGCAGACAACTCTGCAGAAGAGGAGAAAAAAAAAAGAAAAAGGAAAAACAACTGCCAGCCACGGTGTATTTTTCATTGGACGAATGAGACATGGCATCGGGAGCGGTGAGGGAACCTCACGCGCTGGTGTGTCAGGGGGGATGAGCGGAGGAGGAGTACGGCTCGAGTCATCCACAACAGTTGTATGTGTGGTATTTTGCGCCAAATGTCCGCGACTCCCCCTACTTGCATGCATGCAAGCAATTTAGACTTGGTGGCAAACAGTTGTTTTGTTTTGTCAGCTTCGTTGTCAGACGTCTCAAAAGAGAAGAAGTCGCAGATATGAAAGGAAATGCAGAACGCAAACAGCTGTCAAAGGCACAACAAACGTTTACCGAGGTGAAGAAGATGAAGCTAAAATGATTAAAGTAGCAGACCGTTACTTTCAAAAAACATAAATCCGGATTTTGAATTTCGTGTTTTCTTCAGCATGGGGTCGCCTTGGGAGGCGGATGACGGGCGGCCGCTGGCACAGCGAGCACGGCAGCCGCCCTGTGAGGAGAAAGATGGGCCACAATGGCCGGTACCTAGCAATATGCCGCTCCGGATCCCCAACCAAGCATCCCTGACTGCTGTCAACCCCAAACCCATTCGTCCCCGTAGCTTTTACAAGCGCGGGACCTGGAAGAGGCCGGCCTCGGCCCTGGAGCAGCGCACGTACGCCCTGGTCGCCAGATCTTTTCATTCCTTCTCTAGAAACCTCGATGCACCCCGAGCGCTCACGAACATGCCTGATGTTTGTCTCACCCACGACGTGCTTTGGCCTTTCTACGCATCAACTCTTCAATTGCCTGTGTTGCTGCCCGGTTAGAGCTCACCTGTGGACAGCAAAATTGGAAAAGCTTCGTGAGGCGGAGCGCATCATCATGCGCCAGTATCATCGTGGCCCCGAGGTTGGTCCAAATGGATACCCCACTGTACCTTCACTTCTTTCCGAGCATGCTATTCCCCGTGCCTGGGTGCACTTGCTCTTCTCGGAGGCTCGGCTCACTGGGCTCCCTTGTCTTCCGCCTCACGATCATGGCTCAGATCTGGCGCACGTTTAAGAGCCAAGAGCGTGCCTTCCGCTTTGCCGACGCCACCCTTCATCCGACCCGCATCCTCTCCTTTGAGCTGCCGGGTAGCACAGGCCGACGCGAATTTATCGTGGCCAACGACGCGGGCCTTCAGCGCAACTATGCCTTACGGCCAAATGACCGCTTCTATTACGAAATGATTCGCGATGGCCAACCGGCCCATCTCTACCTGGACCTCGAATACAGTCGTCGCCACAACCCCAGCCTGGACCCCGAGCGGCTCACAAATTCCATCATCGATGCCCTCGAACTGACGCTGCGCGCTCGCTGCTCACCGCCAGCCGCAGCCAACCTCGAGCTCGACACCCTGGTGCTCGATGCCAGCACGGAGACGAAATTTTCAAAACACGTCATTTTCAAAGTGCCCGGGTATGCTTTCCCAGACAACCTCGCTGCTGGTTGCTGTCTTCGAACGGTGTTGCTTCAGGCCCTCGAGCGCCGCACTCGCCTTGAGGTGCTCGAAACCACGAGCGCCATGGAAGAGGTCCTCGGCGCGACCACGGATTCTGCCCCCCTGACTGAGCAACCCACCCCTGCCCAAGAGGCCATAGACGCTCTTGCGCGCTGCCTCTTTGTGGTGGGGCGCGATGGTGCCCTCACCCTCTTTGTCGATTGTGGAGTCTACTCGCGTAACCGCAATTTTCGCCTGTACCTCTCGCGAAAGCGAGGCAAGGCCAATCCGCTCTGCTTCGACTCCGCCTTGAGCCGCCTACGCACCCCCACGGCCCGTCAGATCTGGCTGCCATCACCAACGTCTACCGATTTGACGGACGAGCTTGCGCCTGCATCGGTACCCAAGGCGCCATCAGACCCGTGGGCGAGTGACTCGGCCCTGGGCCTGGCCCGCCTCAAGTCAAGCCTGATTACGCATCACGAGCACCCGGAGCAGCTGCGCTGGCTAGTATGGCCTGAGCCCAATATTCCTGCTCGCTATACCCGCTGGCTGGGTGTTGCATTGCACCATGGAACAGGCGGCGCGTGCTCCTACGGTAGCAGCCACAACAGGCCGACGTCCGTACCCACAGCCATGGGTATGGCCTCGCCATTTCCTTCGATTGATGATTACGTGACGCAAGTGTGTCAGGACGAACGGCATCGCGGACGTATCCGTCGCTGTTTCTACTTTGCGCAGACCAAAACCATCACCTATGATTTGGATCACTATCGCTTTTGCCACAATATTGGACGCCACCACCGCTCCAATGGTTCGGCACAACCCAACTCGTTGATTGGCGACGCCGCAGATAGAGTTTGCTGCTCGACGCAACTCACTCGCGTTGACCTTCTTTGCTATGCCTTTCAGGTATCATGATTGTTGTGCAGCTTCTCGATGGCATTTGGTATCAGGTTTGTGCCTTGCATGACGGTCAAGCGGGTCTGCTCCATCTCCAAAACCTCACCCAACGCCGTCGCTTCTCTTGGGCGCTTGATTTCGGATGTCATCTGATCCCACTAGAAATGCCATGACCCCGACTGCCGGGCACTCGACTATCGAAGCCCACGTATGTATGCGTCCTCAATCTCTATCCTCACCAGCCACTCTCTGTGTGCTTGGCAATGGCTGCTTCCACTCACAGGCAGGTGTTGGTGTGCTCCATTGCTTCTTTCTCCACGCAGCGTTTCGAATGCCAGTAGAACTCGTGCCTTTTGAGCCTCCAGCGCCTTGGAGCGAAGCAGATGACCAAGCTGACGAGGCCCATGAGGTCACACCATCGGAGCCACCCTCACAGACTCCAACACTGCACGCACAAGGAGGTGCAGAACGTGCTTTTGAAACTGACTTGAAGGAGCAAGATGTACCATTGGAACACGCATCCCCTCTTGACGCACCGCCTTCTGCGACCCAGCGCCACAGCTTTCCAGAAAAGCATACAAGAAAGACAGAAGCCGAGCAGCAAGGAGCGACGGAGGGAGAGGACACGGCAGAGGATGCGCTTGACGCCACCGTCCTGCAATACTTGGAGAATTTTGACTAACTGAGAGATGATTGACTGCCTGATTGAATGATTGATTGAATGACGCTGACACGTTTCTGCCGTAGTGCGAACTCGCCCATTTCCCTTTTGCTCAAGCACGCCAACGCTTGCCGCATTTTTTACAGCTGGCAAAAATAGTCATGGGTTCATCGGCCGATCGCGTCTGCACCTCCGTGTACGAGGCATCCCGGGCCTTGCAACGTGGGCACACAAGCTGGTCTGTGGAGGCGCCTTCCGCCACGGCCAAGGCGCGGTCGTGTGAGGCCTTCTCGAGATCTTTCTGCAAAACGTCTTGTTGTTCCTTAGACAGCAGCGCCTACAGAGCCAACATTGTAGGAGCACGCATGAACAAACAAACAATGGCTCAGACTTGTGCATGATATTAGCGTGGCCGCGTCTAGCACTCACGCTGCCGCTCAGCTTGACAAATTCCTCTGGTGCCATGACCTCTTGCATGAGGGCACCGCGGATCCAGTCCTTGCAATATTGGATGCGGCTTCTGCAGACCGCCAAGCACGCAGAGACGCACAACAGCAGAGATGCACAAAAGATGTGAGATGTGCTGTTTGGCGCAAGATGCATTCAAATGGCATGCGTGGGCCGAAAGACTTGCCGCGTAAGAGCACGGTAATCCTCGGATGCAGAATCGGAGTGCTTGATGAAGCACGCATTTTCAATGTCAGCCGCCACCATCCCGGCATTGGCCGTGTCTACACAATGTGCAGTTAAGATCAGGTGAAGCTGAGATAGCGGGCAAGACGTCTACCGAGCCGTGTGCTTGCTGGCAAGTTGGACACGCCAATTTTCTCTTAACGCGTGCACGCGCGTGCCAACTTGTCTTCCCTTGAGAACGCGGTTCGTGGCTGCCCATACCTTCTGGTTTGATTGAGGCGGAGAGCTTTTTGCACAAGAGCTCACGAAACTTGTTGCGCACGGGGTCGTCGCACCGGTGGTGTGGCTCTAGCACTGTTTGAGCTGCCTTACCATCCGATCCACGTGGCAAGGGCGACTTGAGAGCACCATCTGACGTGGGTGGACACAAGTCCATGCATGAGGACGCGCGCGCGCGGGTCGCGACAAAACAGGAACTGAAGGCAAGAGAAAGAATCACTGTGTCCGTCTCTACTGTATGCCTGCCTCTGTCTGTGTCTCTTTCTATAGTCTGTCTGTCTGTGCCCTTGCAAACAAAGTCGTCCAGGGGTGGCATGATTTGAGAGATGTCGGGCATCAGCCGAGGCCACGACCATACCGTCGCCTTTGACGCTCGACTTGTTGTTTTTGGCATTTCGTGCAGCCTTGGAATCTGTCAAAAGAAGCATGAACAAGAGCAACAAGGAAGTACAATAAGCACACGGCAGACAATGAGGCTTGCTTGCAAGGTTTCCGTCCAATTGAAAGAGTCGAACATACCTTGCAAACCGACTTGAGCACGCCAGTCTGCAAGTAGCGCCTTGGCCAGCTGCTGTGTTTCGCCAAGTTTGCAATCACGCTTCACCTTGCTCACAATGATACCAATCTTGGTGGAGTTGAGGATGTCCTTTGTCATGACCACAGCTTTCAGCTCTTTCAAACAGTCTCGCACCATCAACTCATCCTACTCGCAAACCAGATATTGCACCCATCCAGGCGAGATGGGTGAGCCTCAAAATTGTCCAGCCTGAAACGTCGTCGATACAACAACAGCGACATCCCAAGAAAGGGAAAAAAAGCCAAAAGGAAAAATACACCCGATCGTTTGCAAGAGGTGGACTCACGAATCGAGCCCTGTCGCTAGCAGTGCGAAGGATCTTGGCCAGCCGTTCCGTCTCGTCCATGGTGGCCGGTGGACCCAATCGAGGTTTCTGCTTCAGCAAATCAAAGCAAATCCAAGCAAACACCAGCATCAGAGCTCAAACAGCGCACCCATTCCACAAGAAAAAATGCATTTCCATTCACGTGTTACGCAGGACGCCATCACGGCTGGCCGTACACGACCGGGCGGCGGTGTTTGCCGCCGCCATTCCGATGATTCCTTTCACACACACACACACACACACACACACACACACACACACACACACGCTGCTTGAGTAGCAAGCGCTAACCGTCACAAGAAATAAATCGCGAAACCAGTGATAATAATAAGTTTTTCAACTGTTTGACAACGTTCACTGGTTTCGCCTTTAAATTTTCAATATCGGGCAGCTTGTTATGGGACTGCTGGAGACTGCTGGAGAATGGTGGTGGGCGCGACGAGGTGTTTGAGGTTGTTGGACATGAGGTCAGCCGTTGAGAGGTAGAGTCTACTAATTAATTTATTATTGGTCATGCGGAGAGCGTTCTATCGCGTGGCTGGCGTTGTAGGCGCATCCATCCAGGCCAACAAAGTCTGACCGGATATGATACTGGTCGACTTGCACAATCATAAAGAGAAGAAACGCAAGAACAGTGGGGTGTAGAGCTGACTATAAACAAACAGGATGCTTGAACAATAAAGGTCGACAACTAAGGTGAAGCTGAAAAACTTGCAACCAATTTCCAGCATTCACAAAGTCTCGGGACCAGGGCCAGTGGGCTTGGGAGGTTGATCCGAGGGAGCCGGACCAGTGGGCTTGGGAGGTTCACCCGAGGGAGCGGGACCCGTGGGCTTGGGAGGATGGCCCGAGGGAGCAGGGCCAGTAGGTTTGGGAGGTTGACCCGAGGGAGCAGGACCAGTGGGCTTGGGGGGTTGATCCGAGGGAGCAGGGCCAGTGGGCTTGGGGGGTCCACCCGAGGGAGCAGGACTCGTGGGCTTGGGAGGTGCACCCGAGGGAGCAGGACTCGTGGGCTTGGGAGGTGCACCCGAGGGAGCAGGGCCACCACGGGGAGGGGGACCACCAGGACCACCACGGGGAGGGGGACCAGCGGGACCCTTCTGGAACGTGGCGTTTGAGAAAGCTTCATTCATCATGATGGACGCATTGCAGGCACCAATTGCATTGCAGGCTTTGACGGGTGTAAACCGGTCCTCCAACCACTCGATCAACTATCAACAAACCACATGCAATGATAATGTTTGAGTTGGCAGCATTTGAGCGGGCTACATAGGCGCACATGCGCTGTTGTCGCCGGGGGGTTGAGACAAAAGCTCACCTGGTCGCTGCTTGCATTGAAGACGGCAGCGCAGTGGCCTTCCACATCTCCAATTGAAGTACAAGCCTTTTGCAGCGTGATGGCGATGATTGACTCGAAGGATTTAACACTGGAGGCAACGTCAAGCGCGAAGAATGTGCAAATGGCACAGTCATCACGTTCTGGCAAGCGTGGTTTTGTCGTGTTGCCAAGAGAGGCCGGGGCTGACCGAAGGTCGCACTCCAGGCTCAAAAGGTCATTGCAGATAGCCTGAGCACGCATGGTAATGAGCAGAAGGACATGGCCAAAAGCCAAGGGGCGAATGCCAAGCAGGGGTCGGACGAAAGCGATTTGCTGCACACCTGAGGTTGAAATTCTTCCGCCAGGTAGTCAAGGAGCTGAGGGCCATAAGCGTTGACGGCCTTGGCGCAGAAGTTGGCCTCGTGTCTGGGCAAGGTACCGCACAAAAAGGCTTCAAGGACATCCAGGGCGCGGGCTTGAGTTTCGTTGACGAGCAAGAGTTTGTGAACGGCTCTGGCACCGGCTGAACACGCGGAGCAGGAGTCGCTCGACATGGTCGAGATGCGGTAACCTTGAGGCATTGCATGGCACACAGCAAGCAAAAATGCGAGTGTGCCGACGACACTCGAGAAAGTGCGACGCATGGCTGCAGTGCCGAATGGGCCGTGTAGAGCTTCCGGCTGTTTGATGGCGCTTCGATCCAGCGCAAGGATGGGTACTCTTGTTGAAGGTTGTCACGGGGTGCCGGCGAAAGCAGGACACGGAACCAGAAAAATGCGAGTGAACAGTCATCAACGCCATTCTCCTGTCCATTTGTCGCGTCGAGGCAAACAGTGGCAGTCTTGTGGTGGTGCAGAGGGTGACGTGCAGAGCCTGACATTCACAAAAGTACAGTACCTCAAACGCAGAAGTGTACAGTAGATGCGATGGCCAAGAGTTTGGTGAGGCTGACAGAGTGTGGAGCCCTGTAGCCCCAATCTAGTTGGGGGCGGCTCGGGTGACAGTCAGTGCTTTGCGCGAAGAGTACCCCATATCAGCGCCCCTTCTTTGGAATAGGACTCATGGGCAAGCACAAGTGCCCTTCGAGACGCATCGACACGACAGCCACTGTGACGCAACACGGCTTAACCGCATCGTGCATGTAAGCGCTGCAGGCGCTGCTCCTTTTGCCGAATCTGGTTCGTATGCGACCGTTTCGGACTTCATGTCAAAAAATGGTACAAAGATTGGTTTGAAACGTCATACTTTGCCTCGAGTCCTACTGCATTCGACTCTGACGTTACTATGAAGGACGGGCTGCAGAACGGTGGTAGCCGATGGTGGTGGTGGTGGTGGTGGTGGTGATGATGATGGTGATGGTAATGTGTGAGGGAGCTTAGGGGTACGTGCGTACGTGCGTACGTACCGAACGCTCGCCGCCGTGGACTGACGATCCACAGAGACAGCGTCCGCTCCTGACCCAAAACCAGAGCCACCAATATTATCCTACCCCTTCAAAGTAAAATCTGCGACTACCATCTGTAAGTCATCAGAACCTGCCAAAAAAAAAAACTGCTACCAGTTGTCAGCGTGCCACTGACATTTGGTCGCCCCGTGTCTGAACGGCACTTGGACGGACGGACGACGATGGCAGCGACAGAGGCGAACACCCCGGCCGCCGCCGCGGCCTCTGATGCGGTTTGTGAACAGAGCCTTGTTGGAATTTGTCTCTTGTGTTATATGATTTGTACCTGCTTTTGGGTAGTTGGGCCGTTGGGCAGTAGAGGCAGGGTCCAAAGCCGATGCACCCGCCGGTCAGAAATCGGCGAGCATGTGAGCGCGAGCTCATTGCATTCGTTCACGTCCTTGGTCTATACCATGGCAAACGTAGGCCCCAGCGGGAACACCTACGGGGCAAAAGCGTCGGCATGAGGAAGATCACGCCCATCAAAAGCGTAACAAGCCACAGCGCGGCCGGGGCCATGGACGCGGAGGCCGAGGTGGTCACGGCGGACGACGCAACTACGCTGGTGCGTGTGCTTTCTCAAGCATCTCATTGGCCAGATCCTTTTGCGGCCCTGGGCTTCGATGTGGTTTGATCGATCTCCTTTTATCTCATCCCTCCTCTTCCATGGCACCAGGCCAATTTCAGCAAAAGGGACAACAGGCCGCACCCGGGCGCTCAGACATGGAGGAGGACGAAACGTTCCAGGTGAGCTGCGATCGACACCGTTCTCGATGCTCATGCTTGCGGTTTTTGCGGTTGTGTTTAACTGCCATACTTGTTTCATCTGATGATCACCCATGCTCCTACCGTCCTCTTGCTTGGCCTCTCGTGCGCTTCCTCATTCGTTGCCTCTTTTTCCAACCCAAATCAGCTGGCCAAAAAGTACTGGGCTGGTGACAAAGTTCAGGCTTACAATGTCGAAGTTGTCCAGCAACTCTTCAACGACACGCTGCGCCAGCGCAACTTCAGCAATGCCAAGGTCTGATGGCAGACTCCCACCACCCAGCTCACAGTTGTCCGCGCTCGTCTTGAGGACCTGCCATTGTTTTTTTTTCTCACTTTATCGACTTGCCACAAATGCCCGCAACAGATTTCTATTCTGGAGAATAGTGGATTCTTGGAGCGCTATCTGTGGCCCAACTTTGATGCCACTGCACCTCGCGAGGTCGTCATTTCAATCCTTTTGATGATCAACGAAAAGTATCTCGAAGGACAGGATGCTCTGGCCTGCATTGAACGCACCCACCCAGAGCGCTTTGCTGCCCTGGTCGATCAGGCTTTGACCATTGCCCTTGAAGACGCCACAGCTGCGACTGACAAGGCTACCATCCGGGAACAGACGACCGCTGTCATTTTTCTTATTCGCTGCTTCCAAAGCCTGGTCGGTCGTCGCAATTGGTGCTGGCCCGCGTGCCAGCAGGTTCCATTGTCGTTATCTGTTTGTAGATCCATCCCGTACCTCATTGGAATTGACTTGAATTCATCGCACGCGTAGGAAAAAGAGCTGGTCCGCAAGCAAGTGCAACCTCTGGTGGGCCTTGGCACTTGGCGCAATCTCCTGCCCAGCCGACGTGAGCAGGCCTTTGAACAGCATCCTCGGCTCAAAAAGGGCTGGAAGGCCATTCACAAGAAACGCGCCAAGCTCCCGGCAGATGAACAGGTGCATCTTTTGTGACGTGCATGCTGAACTGAGTTCAACAAGTCCAGCGTACATGGATTCCGGGGTGCATCGCGACCCTCTCATCTTATCTTTTTCTCAGGCTGCGCTGAAGGAGAAGGAATACTTTTTTGGTCGCCTCATTGCCAAGTTTCTTGACATGGTGGACACCTTGGATGCCACCCGCAAAACACCCCAGCTGCAGTTTTGCGAGCGCACCCTCGAGTTGCTCGTGGACGTCGAAGTGCGTTGGTGCCTTGCTTGGTTCGGCCGCCCGAAATCTTCAGCCTGCCAGCCCCTCACCTTTGTACTGTTCTTCCAGGCCCTCTTGACCTCGCGACGCTACCTCAACACGGTGGTACAGCACCTCAACGTGGTGACACGCTGCGAGACGGCGCCGATTGCCACCGCCACCGTCGGTAACCTCTTTGGGCAGCTCTTGCAGATGCTCAAGTTCTACGTCAACTTTGAGATTGATGATTTGAGTGGCGAACAACTCTCCGAGGATACCATGACAGACATTCATTATGCGCATGTCAAAAAACTGCAGACCGTGGCCTACCGTCATTACGAAGAGCTTCGCGAACTGGCTTTGCGCAACGTCAGCAGCATTGATACGCGCGAGACCTTTGTTGCGTACATGGACCAGCTTTCCGATGAACGCCTCCGCGAGCTGTGCGCTTCGCTGGCTCTCATTGCTGACCCCACCGCAGCTGGCAGCGCTGACGACGAGGAGTGCCCTGCTATGCGCCTCAACAGCACCGCCGGCCTACCTCGCGAACGTCTTTTGCAGGTGCTGGCTGACCGTTACCAGCGCCGCTATTCGCAGCTCGAATCGATCAACGAGATGTCACTCTTTCCTACGGAACAGACCATCTGGGACACGGATATTGTACCCGACGAGCTCTACGTGGACGCCTGTCTGGCCCTTCCCAAGCTGCATTTGCAGTTTTTGACTCTCTTTGACTATCTGCTGCGAAACTTGAATCTTTTCAACATGGAATCGATTTACGAGATTCGCATGGATCTGGAGGATCATCTGCCTCGCCTGCAACCCTATCTGGGCGCCTATGATGAAGTCAAGTTTGCTGGATGGTCCAAGATGGCACATCCCATCGATGACTTTCGGGTCGTGGCCGTTGCGCAACCCCGCGTGGGCGAAAGTCACCCGGCCACCGTCCGAGCTGACGTCGTGCTCAAACTCGACTCTGTGCGCGACTCTATCCGCCAAGAATGGGAGGCGCTCCGCCGCCACGATGTTGGCTTCTTGGTCACGCTGAAGCCCAATCACGCCGATGCCGCCCAAATACCCGACGACATGCCCTTTTTTTTTTTTTTTTTTTTTTTTTTTTTTTTTTTTTTTTTTTTTTTTTTTTTTTTTTTTTTTTTTTTTTTTTCAACAGTATGGTGTAGTGGCTGTGCGTGGTTGCGAGGTGGAAGGCATGTTGGATGCTCAGGGTCAGCTGATTGATGAGTATGCCGACAAAGCACCCACCCTCTCCAAGTCTCGCGAGCGCACTTTCCGCCTCCTTCTGGACCCCAATCAGTATCAACAGGACATTGTATGTTCGATGCCTTTGTGTCGGCTCTTGGCTCTTTCCGTTTTGATTCTTGTAATGACCCAGGATGAGGCGTCTGTGCGCGCAGAGGCCTCGCGCCGTGCAAGTGACTCTCATCACTTGTTGTGCTGACGTTTGTTGTGCTTTGTTTGCTTCTCCTCCTCCTCGCAGGAAGCCTCCATGCATGGCGAGGGCTACGACGTGTACTCCACGTTCAACGTCTTTGTGCGTCGCAACTCCAAGGAGAACAATTTCAAAGCCGTTCTGGAGACCATTCGCAGTCTCATGAATGCGCAGACCGTGGTACCTGACTGGCTGCATGACATCTTCTTGGGATACGGCGATCCGGGCGCCGCGCATTACAGCAAAATGCCCGATCAAGCCAAGGATGTGGACTTTTACGATACGTTTGTGGATGCCGAGCATCTCCGCGAGTCTTTCCCCAACCACGCAGTTCAGGTAGGCCCCCCACAACAACTTGGTGGTCAGGCCCCCAGGCTTGACTACATTATTCTCAACCCAATGATCTGCTTTCCGTCCTTGTTTTGTTAGTTTCCCGAAGGTGCCGAGGCTGCGCCCCCGCCCTACAAAGTTGCCTTTGAAGAGCCTGCTGAGGACAAGGGCAAGGACGCCAATGCCCGTGCCTTGGTCAAGCCTTACACGACAGAAATGCGCGGGCCCTATCCTCAGAACGTGCCGCGCCGCAATGCTATTCGCTTCACACCCACGCAGGTTGGGGTCTTTGCCACAATGTGACGACTCGATGCGGCATCACAACTGCATTGTCTCTAATGCATCAATGCTCTGCTTTTACACTCGCACCAACCATAGACGGAGGCCATCCGGTCAGGCATCCAACATGGTCTGACGGTGGTGGTGGGACCGCCCGGTACTGGTAAAACGGATGTTGCGGTGCAGATTATCAACAACCTTTATCACGCCCACCCCGAGCAGCGCACTTTAATTGTGACGCATTCGAATCAGGCTCTGAACCAGCTTTTTGAAAAAATCATGGCTTTGGACATTCAGGAAAAGCATCTCCTGCGCCTCGGTCGCGGCGAGGAGCAGCTGAACACGACCAAGGATTTTACACGGTATGATTCAGCCCGAGGCGATCTTGGCGACATTGCGCAGCCACAAGAAACCATGTTACAGCCACACGCTGAATGGCCATGATCGTTCTTGCTTGTTTGTTGCTTTGCCCCTCCTCCTTCCTCCGTCCTTCTGATTTTTTCTGGCCCTGCTTTGATTGATGACCTAGGTATGGTCGTGTCAACTTTATTTTGGGACACCGCATGGAGCTACTGTCGGAGGTCAAGCGTCTGTCCGAGACTCTGGAAGACATTTCAGCGCAGCTCGAGTACACATGCGAAACGGCTGGCCACTTTTACATCTATCACGTAGAGCCGCGGTGGAAAAAGTATTGGGCAGCTCTGCCGGCCGATGATTCCCAGGCCACGGCTGAGGACTTGCAACGTTTGGCTGCGACCTTCCCCTTCCACGCCTTTTTCGCCAATGCGCAGCAGCCTCTGTTCGCAGGTCAATCGTACGCGCAAGATGTGGAGATGGCGCGCGGGTGCCAACACTACATTGATGACATCTTCAACACCCTGAGTGAATATCGCGCCTTTGAGCTTTTGCACAAGGTCGGTGGCGCTTCCCCCCTCTTTGTTGCCCGGGCTTCCCGTTTGGTCAAACAAGTTTAAGAACTCTATCGTAGAGACGCATTTGGCGGAAAGCGGTGCCTCTCATCCAACACCTTGGGGTCTTGCCACCACCATAGAACAAGGATCGCACGCGCTACCTCATGGTCAAGGAGGCCCGCATCATCGCCATGACGTGTACCTACGCCGCGCTAATGCGCGAGGATCTGGCCAGCTACGGCTTTCGCTACGACAACATCGTGATGGAAGAGTCTGCCCAAATCCTTGAAGTGGAGACGTTCATCCCGCTGGTTTTGCAAAACCCGCAGGATGGACGCAATCTACTAAAGCGTGTCACGCTCATTGGTGATCACAACCAGGTGAGGTCTCATCTGATCATCATCGGGTCGCTTCCTGCTCTAGGCTTGTTTTATGCGAACAAGTCCAAAAAAGCATGTCTGTCTGCGTGCCTTGGCTGCCCCGATAACTCATTCTTGACTTGCGTGTGCGTCTGCGTGTGCTATTAGCTTCCTCCCGTCATTCGCAACCCGGCCTTCAAGAAGTTTTGCAATCTCGAGCAGTCCATGTTTACACGCTTTGTGCGCTTGGGTGTGCCCCACGTACAACTCGATGCCCAGGGCCGTATGCGCCCATCCATGGCCGATCTTTACCGTTGGAACTACACCAATCTCAACGATCTGCCCCACATTGGTGCGCGCCCCGAGTTTGCGGTGGCCAACCCTGGCTTCCGCTACGAGTACCAGCTCATCGACGTTGGCGACTATCAAGGCAAGGGTGAGATGGTCCCCTCACCCCACTTTATCCAGAACCTGGGCGAGGCCGAATACGTGGTGGCCACGTACATGTACATGCGCCTTTTGGGCTACCCGGCCGAGCGTATCACGATTCTGACCACGTACAACGGTCAGAAGGAGCTGATTCGCGATGTTGTGCGTGCACGATGCTTGTCTCACCCCCTCTTTGGAAGTCCAGCCGTGGTATGTACTTTCCTCTTGGCCATCACATCGCCTCCTGCTTGGCCCAGCTTGTCCTGCGTCTAGCGTGTACCGTGGATCTGATCCAAGCTAGAATCTGATTGGTTACAATTGGTGTCGCTGACAAGGTCGTTCTTCCTGCGTTGTGGGGTGTTTCATGCTGCAGATCGAAACGGTCGACAAGTACCAGGGCTCACAAAATGACTACGTGCTGCTTTCGCTCGTCCGCACCCGGCATGCGGGTTTCTTGCGCGATGTTCGTCGCCTCATCGTCGCTCTGTCGCGTGCGCGCCTCGGCCTGTACATTTTCGCTCGGTATGTACCCATGATAAACTGGCTTGACACACACTCACACACACACACACACCCATGTACCCATGTACCCATGTACCCATGTACCCTTGACTGGTTCCCATGATTTCCTCACACTTGATTGGGACTGTGTGTATCTATGGACAGCGTGGCATTGTTTGACAAAGTGCCGGAGCTGGAGCACGTCTTTAACCTCCTGAAAGAGCGCCCCACCACCATGCAGCTCTATCCCAATGAGTCGTACACGGAAACACTCCGGCCGGTGGATCAGGCTTCAGAGGAAGAGGCCGTGGTAGAAGTGACCAACATGGAGCACATGGCGCAGAGCGTCTACAGCATGGCCGTGGAGCGTTTGCGGGAAGTCAACCAGGGCGCGCAGGAGCAAGTACATCCTGGCAATCAGGATGAGGCTGAAGTGACTGGGGACAATGACGACGCCGAGGTGAAGGAGAGTGAGGCTATGGACCAGGACGCTGATGGTGCTGAAGAACAAGCCAATGGTGTCAGTGACGCCAAGGCTGCCCCCATGGAAACGGCAGCGGAGCCAGATGAAGAGGCTCAGCCTGCCGAGGAGCCTGCGCCGGTAGCTTCCGAGTCGTCAGCTTCTGCTTCCGACAACGAGACACTGACAGAAGAGGATGTCAAGAAGATGAAGGTGCGGCATGGGCCTCTCTTTGTGATCACTCGTTTGTTTGTTTGTTTGTCTGCATAATTGCTTGTTTCGTTCTCTGCGCAAAATCTCTGGCAAAATCTGACTCAACTCCTGTATTTTGACGCTCTTTCTCCTCCCAAGGTTGCCGAACTCAAGGAGGCATTGCAAGCACGACAAATTGCGTTTGACTCAAAGGATCGAAAGGCGGAACTTCAGGAGCATCTGCTGAAGGCCATTTCTTCCTAGTTGATTAGCCATACAGCGATCGGCACTTGCCGGTGACAAGCCAAATTTAACAAACGATGCCACTGATTTTTGAAGCATTTGTGTGAATGTTGCTGATTTGGCGCCTGTCCGCCCTTTGCACAAACAAGCAAATCACCACATCCCGATCACAAAATACGGCACAGAAGATTTTGATGATTTCTTGAAGAAATCATCGTTGGATGCAATCAGTTATCAGTTGCTGATCTTCGAGACTAGACAAATCAAACCCGAATGAGAGATGATTGGCACAACACGAGCAAGACTTGGTTAACAGCTTCCTCAAAAACCCACGGAAACAACCAAGAACCATGCTCGGACTGTCTCATGTCGACCGCACACATAAGGAATAAGTATGAGAAGAATGAATTATGAGGGAAAAGATGAGGAGAAAAGGCCAAATCGATTTGATAGAAAAAAAAAAAAATGGAACACAGTGTCATGCTGATGAAGGGTGAGTCGCTTAATGGAGGTTGGAGAATGAAGAGGATTGGCGCGCCGGAATCATGTCTGAGAATCCTTGCTAAACGTAGTAACATTCACGAAGGAAAGTCGTGGGATGGTAATATGTGGCTCAGGGCTAATAGCGACAACGGCGCACGGGTCACAAGAAGAAAAACAATCAAACGGCGGCACATGCACACAGGTAGTCCACAAGTCGCAACACATGAGTGCAGAGGTAGAACGATGGTCGATGGGCTGGCGTCATTATCACGATAAAAAGTGACGGAAGCGGTCGAAAATTAAGAAGCAAGAACAAGAAATTTTGAAAAAAAAAAACAAAAACAGCAACTCAGGGCAGATCGTTGTGGTCACGCTAGCAAAGTTCAATGGGTTTGTGGCTCTTGCAGAAGTGGGCGCGGTTTAGACCACGGCTGACTTGGTGAGCGCTGCGCTGACTGGGCGTGAAGGGCCATTGAAACGCGTGTTCATTTCTTGTGCAACGCGATGGATGTAGCCAATGTCCGGCCGCTCCTCGGGCTGGGCTCGGATACACATGGCCACAAGGGCGCGCAATTGCTCCGAGTAGAGATCGGCGGGTAGGGGCGGATATGCGCACTTGTCAATCTTCTTGCACAAAGTGTAGAGGCTGAGCTGATCGCCGTAGAATGGCGATTGCAAAGCAGCCATCTATGTTCATGAACCACGCAGCTGAGGTGCGCACGAATGCAGGCGAAAAACAAAATGTGTCTGCTCTGGGGTGGCAGCAAAAGCGGCAGGAGAGACAGGCAGACTGACCTCGTAGAGAAGACAACCGAGGGACCAGATGTCCGAGGCAAAGTGATAGGGCTGTTCCCGAATGCGCTCCGGCGACATATCTGTCACAGCGGCAGCAAATGAGAAAACAGGAGGTCCAGCAGGTGGCTCTCGCGCCGGGAGTCAATGCAAGAACACGACGTACAGTAGGGTGTGCCCACGAGCGAATGGGCCACGTTGGTCTTGGTGCTAAAGTAACGGCTCAAGCCGAGATCACCGAGCTTGACCACACCTTCCGCCGTGATGAAGACGTTGGCAGGCTTGATGTCTCGATGCATCACGCGGCAGGTGTGCATGTGCTCGAGAGCGGAACAGAGCTGCTGAAAGTATTTCCAGATGGAAGCTTCAGGAATGAGGCGACGTTGCTTGCGAAAGTGCTTGATCATGCGACTCAAATCTCCAGCGTCGGCCAGCTCGAGCACAATGTTGAGCTGTACGCCATTCACACACACCCATCCACGAGGCAAGGTCAATGGCAGGGTGAGGAAGAAGAATCTGAAAAAGGGGAGGAGCAGGCGTGGGCAACAAGCCAGGCTGATCAAGGTTAGATCGGGACAACAACTAACTGACCTCATTGTTAGCGATGAAGGAGGCGAGGTACTGGATAATGTTGTGATGGTTGAGAGACTTGAGCAGATCAATCTCTTTGACGCAATCCGAGCGTGCTTTGGCATCCATCATGTCAAAGATCTAACAGTTTGGCAGGGCGAGCAGCAGTCAGCCCGTCGAGCGCTGAAAACATGTGGTGGCAATTTGTGGCTTCTGTGTACAGAGCATGGACCTCTTCATGGCAGATAGGCCCCACGCTTTTTGGTTGTGAGGGAGGCAAACTTTGGCCAGGCTCTCTGTGGCTACGAGTTGCATACCTGGACCTTCTTGAGGGCAACGTAGCGATTGTCAACGGTGCACCGGGCACGGTAGACAACGCTAAACTGGCCACGGCCAACCTTGCGCTCGACCTCATAGTTGGCCAGATCCCCGTAATATTCTTGACCGGGAAGACCGCCGCTGGGCTGCAAAGGCACATCGGGAGAGGCGTCCATGGCGGCTGGATGGGCGAGGGTACAAAGATGAACGTCAAGAGTTGTTGCTCGCCTCGAAGCGCCAGCAACAAATAGGGCAGAGCCAAGTGTGAAGCGCCCAAAACCTGGAGCGCGAGCAAGAGCGTTTGCCGGGTGAGTAGTGGCCCACACGACGAGAGCCCTACCCCTGGCCTCTGTCTCCCTCTCCTTGACATCCATCCCCGACGACGAGCCCAAGCAACGCTAACGGCAGCCGGGCGGCAGCTCCATGTTATCTCCTTACCACAGTAGCACAGCAAAGTGCGCAAATCCACCAGCGCGAGCTGAACACCGCTGCCGCTGCCCTTTTGGCTTTTCCTTGCTGACACAACAACACGCGCGTATGTGTGTGTGTGTGTGTGTGTGTGTGTGTGTTTCAAGAAGAAAAATGTTATGTGTGCTGTGTGTGTGTGTGTGTGTGTCTCTCTCTCTCTCTCTCTCTCTCTCTCTCTCTCTCTCTCTCTCTCTCTCTCTCTCTCTCTCGCTCGCTCGCTCCGTCTTGTGTGTCTCAGGGACTGGCCTGGGAGGAAGGACGGGACGTAAGTAGAGGGGTTGATTGTTGATTTGGAAATTGAAAAGCGGGTGAAGGAGGCCAGCGCATCAACGATTGCTTCAGCCCATGCGCTGCCACTTTTTCTATTCAGCATCCCTGGGTGGGTGTTTTCTGCAACTGAAGCTGTGGACAGCCGGCTCGGCCTCGTGTACCACACCGACATCCTTTGAAGCTCCCTCTTACTGATATAACATCAGAATCATGTTGGCTTGCATCGCACGAGCAAAAGATGCGGCTGCCCTTGCTCTTTTGGACAGAATGGGGCTCGGGATGTGGTTGTCAAGCACGTCCAACCACACCCAAAACCGATTTTATAAGGTAGCTGGCTTGTAATTGTCACACTTGAAACAAATTGGCATTGCCCCAAATGTCCAAAAGATCAGTATGAGAGTTGAAGCTGTGCGTATGGTACATGGTGCACATGGTATGAGGACCAAGCTGGGCCTTGATTACTGTTTGTAACTGCAGTCACGATGCTACTGCTGCAGCGCGCGCAACATGGAGGTGATGGTGGCCGTGACTTGTGCAAACTCATGCTCGGCATCGGGTAGCGAATACATGTGCGACATGATGTTGTTGCCCCGGGTAAAAAGTTCCACGCTACGCACATCCGCCCCCCCGTATGTAGCACGTCAGCTTACAGCAGAATTAACCGCAGCAGAGATATGGTGCAGCGCCACCGGGTGGTCTTGGCTTGGGCGTGAACGGGCCATACTCGTACCTGCGCAGGTTCGGTCCAAACTGGGCCTCGAGGCCCGGGTAGATGGAGCTGGCTCGAAAGTTGATCACCTCGTCGTGACGGTGGAAGATGCAGAACGAGCGCTAACAGAAGAAGGATCAAAGCCGGACATGCCACTGTGAACATGTGGGCGGTTCGCATCCCCAACACCCAGCTGCCGCAGGGCGAGTAAGCAAAGGACAAGAAGAATACACGCATCCGGGAAAACTGACGTCAGGGTCCCAGCGTGTGTTGGCGCCCAGGTCCCAGTAGGCAAATTTGAGCATATTGGCTGCCAGTGGGCCCATGAGCGCCGTCTTGCCCAGCACATAGCCTGTGCACACCCATCCGGGAGGATGAGTCGAATGGAGGCCAGAAGCAAAAATAACAACGAGGGCCGGTTCGATGAACCAAAAGCAGCTCTCGATGACTTGTCGATCAGTCAACGTGCAGCTTACCGCCAACCAGGCCTGCCAACACAGCCCAACGCATGTGTTGATACTCTGGAAAGAGCGCACCCGTCGTCATGTGGTAACCCAGGGCCTATGACGTGCGACGCGACTCTGTCAGGCTTTACAAGACCACGGTTCACGCTGGCGGCGGGCTGGAAATGACTAAACAACAACAAACACGGCACGTACGGCCACAACACCAAGGGCGCATCCCATAAAAGGACCCAGCATGGACATGAAATGGGCTGCAACCGTGGGCAAAGTCCTGCCAGGCGAGTGATCCACCCACACCGTGCCTTGTTAGGAGCATGGCCACGCATGGTAGAGGGCAATGCCAGTACTGTCACGGGGCCGCTAAATCGGGAACCAATCGAAGCAAAGGCTCCACGCACGAGAAGGTTCGATCATAGACGCGAAGGGCGCTGGGGAAAATGGTCGACAGCTCGCCCACAACGCCACCACCCAGGCTGTGTCCATACAGAATCAGGTTGGATTCGGTAGCACCAAGGTCCATGGCATACTTGACTGCGGCCTCGCCATCCTTACAGAGGTCAGCCGCCACAAAGGGCCAGCTGTTTTCGAGCACCGCACACCGTCACGAATAATTCAGAAATACAAGGGCATTCTCAAGGTTTAGGTCCGTGTGTCTCGGGGTCTCGGAGTGCACTGGCTGAGGGGTGAGCGTACCCTTGTGAATCCCCAACACCGCGGTAGTTGAAAGCAATAACATGCACGTTGAGCGCTCGACTGTAGTGCTCAAGCTGCTTGCCAATCTACGCGTTGCAAACACGCCTCGTGGGTCAGAAGCTGGCCAGCGAGATGCCAGCGGCAGGACACACAATCGAGCCAGACCTGCTCGTAGATGACGCCATTTGCATTGAACCACACAAGGTAGCGATCCGGACCCGTGGTCCGCCCTGGAGCCGGCAGGTGAATGCCGTCCAGTAGCAAGCCTGAGATACAGCCGCGCGACAATGAGCAGGAAAATCAGCTTTAAAAGGTGTCCAACGGCACTGTGGAGGCTTGCCGCAGTCGCAAAGAATCAAGGATCGACGCTCGTACCGTCGGCAGTTGGGATACGAATCTGCTTGGCAAGCGGGTTTTGCAAAAGATACTCTGCGCGCAGCTCTTGCCGGTTGACCAGCTGAGCCACGAGGATGGAGGGCAAGATCTAGCCATAGCCGTGCATGCGGGCTGATAAGATGGCCATGGCATGGCTCTGACGCGGCTCGGAGCGGGTGCAGCCAACGCATTTCACACGCGCGTACGAAAAGAGGCGTCAAAAGCAGGGACTTGACGATTAAAAAGATGAGCCAAGTTGAGGCGCCCCACATTGGCAAAGCGGCGAGTCCACGCGCCAAAGGCTAGGTCGACATGAGCAGGAACAGAGGCGCCACGAGGACACACGCAAGCTGGCTGAGCGGCAGACAGGCACTGGAATCAACGACGTATATCATGCAAAGTATAAGCATGGTTTAAACGAGCAAACGCGGAGGTACCGTGGTCAGAGGCAAGTAGTGTATGGCCTGCAAGATACCCGTCAGGGCCAACCCCACGGCCACTGGGCCATTGAGGTTGAGCACAGCCGGCAGGCTCGACACCAAGCCCATCTTGCTTTTGAGGAGAGAGAGAGAGAGAGAGAGAGAGAGAGAGAGATGAAAAAAAATATGAGAGAGAGAGAGAGCTTGAGAGCTTGAGAGAGAGAGCTTGAGAGAGAGAGCTTGAGTGAGAGTTTGGGAGAGAGAGATAGAGTTTGAGAGTTTGAGAGAGAGAGTTTGAGAGTTTGAGAGAGAGAGAGAAAGAGAAAGAGCTTGAGTGAGAGAGAGAGAGAGAGAGAGAGAGAGAGAGAGAGAGAGAGAGAGAGAGATAGAGCTTGAAAGAGAGAGATTTTGAGAGAGATTTTGAGAGAGATTTTGAGAGAGATTTTGAGAGAGAGAGAGTGTGTGTGTGTGTGTGTGTGTTTTGTGATGAAGAACAGATTCCCCGAGCTGACACAACTCTCGATTCTAATGGGGCTGCTGGACCGGTGTTGATCAGGTAGACGGACGTGGAGCACACAAAACAGGGACGGTACTGGTCAACATGGTCATCATGCCAAGGTTTGGTCGATGGCCCTTGGTTCTTACAATCCTGGTTGCATTTGAACACCATCCACCACACGGCAGGCATGGGTCTTGTACTTGTTGGCGTACTCGGGCTGGCGCTTGGGGTACTCGCGATCCACGGCTTCGCGCAGCTCTTCGACGGCAGAGGATAAAACCAGCGCACCAGAGGCGCCCTTATCGCCGCCGCCCAACATGCGCTCACCTAAGAATTAAGCACGCAGCACCAGAGCAAGGGATGAGTAAAATGACATGTTTGCGTGTCCGCATGTGCGGCTGATAAACATGCAGGGCACGTACCAAGGACGCCCTCAACGGTCCGGGCAATGTCACACATGGTCTCCAGCTCTGGGCCTGAGATTTCGTAGACGTCGCGCAGACCATAGCCATCCTCACGGAAGATGGCACCCACCTTTGAAATGTCGCCCGCACGCCAAGCCTGCCGTTGCACACCACCACAGAACATGCCAACCAACCGTTGAATAGATGAGTGCAGGGGATGCGGCGATGCCATACTCTTGCACTTTAACAACAAGTCGGCTCACTGCACAACGGGCCCAGAGATAAGAGGTCAAGCGCGCAAGACGCACATCCATCATTTCATAGAAGCGCTGCTGCGCGGCATAAATATACTCGAGACGCTTGATGTGGTTGGGAAACTCAGTGCCAAACCGGGCCCGCATTTTCTACACGAGCACCCATCCATTCGTCGGTGAGAGCCAGAAAACGAGACAAACTTTGGCTGAGATGGCGCCAAGTCCCTGGGCCAGGAATGGCACAGAAAAACCAACGTTGAGCATATCCTCGTCCTTGACATCAGCCAGCGTCTCGATGCCAAACGCTGCCTTGCCCATGGCAGCCAGCTCGTCGCACTCTTGGCGACGAATCTTATATGTGGACTATTGTATGCACTCACAAAAAAGTGGCGAGGGAAGAGCGCGGGTGAGCGCAGCAAAGGAGACAAAGGAGGATCTAGTCATACCGAAGCGAGAATAGAAGCCACACAGACAAAACAAGAGAGAAATTCAGAGCTAGGAGCTCAACAACCGATCGTATGTGCGCCAGTTCAAGGATCGCATCACGCGATCTCTCAACGGCCGGGCGGACAAGAGACGACCAACCGACCTTTTCAAGACCAAGGCGTTCCGTGCCTGTATCAAGGCTCACAAGAGCAAACTGCTCCGCCTTGGCACCCAGGGGCACATAGGAGATGCTGCGGGTGGCAGGTTTGTAGTGCGTGCCTATAACACAAGATCAACATCGCATGGCACCATCAATCAAATCTGGTTCTGTGCTTGCGGTTTGAGCCAGTGCTTCAACCCAGCGAGAAACGAACCTTGGCCTTCCTTTGCGAAGAAAATCATGATTTGATCAAGTTTTCCACAGGGCGAGCCAATGTAGTCATTCTCGATCTCCTGCGCCATATCCACGACAGCCATTTGCTGCTCGGGCGTCGTTCCGAATCGAATGCCATTGACATCCGCCATGGTAAGCAAAAGGTTGATGCAGAGCGAGGCGGAGCGGGACATGCCGCCGCCGGGAATGTTGCCGTAGACCACCTGTGCCATAGCATTTGTTTGAGACAGGCAAAGTGCAAGCAAGAGAGGGTGACAGACAGACAGAGCGTGTGTGTGTGTGTGTGTGTGTGTGTGAAGTACAGTGTGAAAAAAAACACCATGCTAAGCGAGTCTGCTTACCGCATCAAAGCCTTGAGTCAACTTGTAGCCGTGGGCCGTCAGGACCGAATTGGTGCCATACGGAAATCGCGACCAGCTGCTCTGGATGCTGGGATCGTCCTTGCTGGGATACTATGGTTTTGTCCCCACCAACCACGAAGCAAGCAAAGCGACGAATGAGAAGTTTGACGGGAGCAAAGTCAATGGCCCAGCCGCGTGAAAACAGGCGGGCCAGGCTGATGCAAAAAAAAAAAAAAAACAACACAGCACAGCACAGCACAGCACAGCACAGCACAGCACAGCACAGCACAACACAGCACAGCACAGCACAGCACAGCACAGCACAGCACAGCACAGCACAGCACAGCACAGCACAGCACAGCACAGCACAGCACAGCACAGCACAGCACAGCACAGCACAGCACAAACACACACACACACACACACACACACACACACACACACAAAAAAAAAAAAAAACACTTCAAAACACAAACAAATCAAACACAAAAAAAAACAAAAAAAACAAAAAAAAAAAAAAAACAGTGAACATGTGTGTGCAAACGCGCTCTCCAAACGTGCGCGCTGTGCTCGCAATCGACCGTGCACACCTTGTCAATCTCAAACTCAACAAGGCCATCTGCGGGAAAGTTGTGGCTGGCCAGACGGATCTGTTTGGTGCCGTTGGGCTTGAAGGCGACCCAGATGAAGCGATCTGTGGCGAGCAGCGGTCCCACGATCCATGAAGCTCTTCAAAGTCCCATCAGTTTTGCCAGTGAGCACGAGCAATACACACCTGTGCCAACACCAAAGAGCTCTGTGCCGTTGTAGTCGCCATGCTCGACACCCAGGCAGAAGCGTGACGAGGTACGGCACACCTGCACCCAACACGCAGATTACGCGTACGCAACATCAATGAAGGTTCGCTGCTGTCTCATGACACCACTGATCCTTGACAGGCCGAGCCAAGGATGGGAGGAGCAGGGCACTCAAGTGATGGATACCTTGCCTCCCTTGACGTCCAGACCATGCTCGTTTGCCAGCGCAGTCAGGATTTTGCGCGCGCTCGTTTCAGCCTCCCCCATACTGATGGTGTGTGTCTACTCGATCGTACTGTGAGACTTGCACACGGATCCCCAATGTACCCCAACAAAAGAGCAAGGCAAGACCCAACTTGGCCAGTCTTATGACACCATGTGCCTGCACCATGACCCAAACATTCCCCTGGTCTCCTTCTTCCAGTTCCACCCCGCTTCTCACACCGGGAGACGGGGAGCACAGAGGAGAGACACCAACTGACCTTGAATCAAAAATTCGTAAAGACAAAAGAGAGAGAGAGAGAGAGAGAGAGAGAGAGAGAGAGAAATTGAGAGAGAGCGAGAGTTAAACAGCAAAGGGAATAGCACAACTACCACATGTAACAAAGAGAGGGAGAGAGAGAGAGAGAGAGAAACAGGAGGCACAGCAGAAAGTTTTTTACTTTGGATCATTAGCTGAATGTTTTTGTGCGGATGTGCGACGGGCCCCTGTGGTTGGTTTGTATGCCAAACAGGGAGGCTGGGTACGGTAGGGGACTATGCGCTGGTGATTTATTGGTTTCAATTGCGCCCTTTACGGGCGAGATAAACAAACGCTTCATGCCTGTGAACATTGGCTTGGCGCTGCTTGGATCGGGCTCGGCCCGGCATTTTCTTCTTCATGCCCATAAGAAATCCTGTCCTCAGAGGTTTACACCGAGCCGGAACAAGGCAACCAGGACGCACGCATGCCAGTGGTTGGTGGCAAGCAACTAGAGTTCCCACCACTCGGACATGCCCAGCCCATCTTCTGTGATTTGACCCTGTGAGGCACGCAGGACATTTTAGCCAATTCCCGGGCAAAAGAGCGATCAAAGGCCATGAGGGGCACGGGAGCAAGCAGATCAGAACGACAAACCATAATGACATAGGGTAGTTCTTCAATCTTCTTGACCATAAGACCATCTGGGGTGGTTTGTTTCTTGTGTTCTAGCAAAAAGCAAAGGTAACAGGCAAATGGAAAAAAAAACCCCCCGCAGAGTGAGAGGATGCTGCATTGGCCAACATACACGCTAGGAAGCGGGCAGGCCAACCTGAGACTGGAATCACATCATGAAAGGTCTCCTCCATCACCTTGAACGTAATTTCCTGCAACAAATCATTGGTGAGCGGTTGTCTGCAGAATCGAAAAAGCAAAAGGCACCATCGCGTGGCGGGGGGTCACTGACGCAGCCTTTGGCCAGTTTGAGTTGATGGGAAGCACCGTCTTCATCTTGGTATTGCCAAATCCATTCTTGAAGGCCGTCATCGAAAACGACGCCTTCGCGCATTGCATGGGCGGGGATGTAGATGTCCCGGAAGAACTTGAGTGAAACTGCACATCCGGAATGGGCGACAAACAAATTGCGGCCCAGAGTCCCGAAAGGTTGAGCAAAAAGCCAAAGACAAAACAGGCATCACAAGCGCTAGTGCGTGCGCAGAAGAGAAAACAGGCACGCAAACACTTGGGAACTCGCCTTTGATGTGGTCAGCCGTCGAGCTCTCAATGGCGCCCTTGAGAACCTCGCCAGTAAAGGGGCGAAAGACCACGAGGCGAAACTGAACATAAAAGTGGGCCGAGCCATCGCCTGGGAAGACGTGGGCCTCTTTGATCTCAACAATATCAAACAAGCAAATGGCTAGGCCAAGCTGGTGCAGGCAAGCGCAGTCTCATGAGGCCACAGCACGTGGACTCGCGGACACCAGACACGGCCAACACGGAGACGGAACAGGCCGGATGGGCCGAGTAAACTGACCTTGTAAATGACTTTGTTGGCATACTTTTTGTTGATCTCATGAGTAAGGGCATCCACGCGATTCTCGCCAAAGCGCTTGGGCTTGAGCTGGACAATGTCCTTGAGTGTGGCAACCCGAAACATGTCTGCCGGTTGCTCGCTCGCTCCTCCTGGCTTCTTCCGTCCAATGTGCCAGACACCCAACAAAAAATAGAGCAAAAATGACCGCTAGCTCCTCTCCATCACCCCTCTCCCCGCTCCTTGGCCGCCTCGCAAAATGCTTGCAAACGCTGGCGTCGATACGGCCGGGAATAGAACCGTCTGTATGTGTACGCTGGGGCGGTGCGCTTCAGGAGCTTGTCGAGCGCGGCTCGACCGACAGGGCAGCAGGCAGAGAAGTAAAGCGACGTGATGAGCTGCGCAGAGATGTATCGCGTCACGGGAAAAAGATTGTCCAATAGCCTGTAAACATAAAGCAAGAGCAGAGAGTATGAACCAAGTGCGAGACAAATTCAGAGAGGAAAGAAAACAAAAAGCGCACCTCCTCGTGTGTGTGTGTGTGTGTGGAAGAGAAAGTATGACAATCATCACACTTTCGTCACAACCTTTTTCTGTTCGTGGTATCAGGATACATCTCTGCACCCATCACTTTTATGTCTCCCATCTCTGCAAATGCGTTATGTTTAGCACTGTAAGAATAGGGAGTAGAGACAGCATCTCTGAATTTATTCGGGTGCCAGTCGCAAACTCTCTCTCTCTTTCCCGCAAGCTCTCTTTTTTTTTTTTTTTTTTTTTTTGGATCACGAGCATCAGGTGCTGTGTGTGTGTGTGTGTGGTAGTGGGGGTGGGCGTGCTTGCTTGGAACAGACGTGGACGGCCCGGGTTGTGAACAGGCAGAACTGAGCAACGGGGGCAGAGGTGCTGTGGACGTCCTGGCAGTGTGAACCAGTGTCATGGTGAGTGGTGTCGTCGTTGGTGAACGTTGGCTCGATGGCCCCGACGGCCGCCTTTGAGGGGTGGCGCGCTTGCGCTCGTCGTGCTGCGGTCAACCATCTCATGTTTGTGGAACCATGCGCGTAGAGTGTAACGCTGCATACAGATCTGGGGGACATTAAGGTTGAGGTCTTTTGTGATCAGGTCGAGCGGGCTGCGGAAAACTTTTTGGCTCTCTGTGCCAGCGGCTACTACGATGGCTGCAAAATTCATCGGTGTGTGCAGCTGGGCGAGCCCGCGTGTTGCAGGGTGCCCCAAGGACCTTCTTTTGCCGTCGTCAAAGAGCTCACCTCCACTTGCGATTACAAACTCACCTCCACAGCAACATCAAGGGCTTTATGATGCAGACCGGAGATCCCACAGGTGTGCGCGCTATAGGCTTCCCTGCACAAGCGCCATTCTTTTCAATCTGTTGGTCGGAACCAGGGACAAGGCCTCTCCCTCTTACTCTCTCTGGTCAACGCCATTTAATTTGTGGTCGCAGGCACGGGCAAGGGTGGTGACTCTATCTGGGGCGGAGAGTTTGAGGACGAGTTTCCTCCGGGTCTTCGTGTATGTGACTTGTGTTCTCGTCGGATTGCGAGTCTGCCTTTGTGAGAGTGAGCGCCCGTGTCATCTCACACGTTCCATCAACGCTATTCATTCAGCACAACGCACGTGGCATCCTATCAATGGCCAACAAGGGCCCCAACACCAACCGCTCACAGTTTTTCATCACTTACGGCAAGGCCCCCCATCTTGACCGCAAGTACACCATCTTCGGCCGGTACGCATGCCTTTGGGGCTCCCGATGGCCGGCTCCACTTGTTGCCCCCATCAGGTTGGGTCTGACATCCTCTTGTTCCCATCGTTTGTCGGCTCGTTTGTGTACATAGCACCATCGACGGCTTTGATACCTTGGACGCCATCGAAAAGACCCCTGTGGTGGATCAACGCAAGCATCGGCCCAAAATGGACATTAAGATTCGTTCCATTACAATACACGCCAACCCCATCGCTGATCAGCAAGCATAGTCGAGTCGACCCCCAAGGAAAGAAAAAAAGCTTCCGACCGAATCTGCAACGCCGGCGATTCCTGGTGTGCTTGGATTTAAAAAAAAAAAACAGGAACATTAAAAAAAAAAAAAAAAGAGGAAATTGACATTTAAATCTCATGACGGCGTTGTTGCAGGACGTGTGTGCATGAGCAGTGCCGTCGCGTTTGACTGCCCATGGCGTAAGACGGGTGCCATGGTATGGCTATGTATCTGATGAATGATGGCAGGCCCAAAGTGACGCGGCATGTCCGAGGTCGTTCACGCTCAGTTCTCTCAATTCCACACGTCCTTCTGCCTTTTTATTCTTGTATTTTGTCAATCTCGGGCCGGCACGGCAAGGCTATGGGGAGCAGACAGGACTTGTGCCTCCCATGAGGCTCCAACTCACATGTCCATCTGCTTCTAATACTCGAGGGCCTGAGGCAGGCCGGCTGAGAAGATCTTGACTTCGGTGGCAGGCCTGCACTCGAAACAAAGACGTGAAAATGGCGTGCGGCCACCACAACCAATGAGTCGCCAGTCGAGAGTAGTCCGAAGCTTTTCACACAACAACATTCACAACCAAAACTCTTGATTCAAGGACGTTGTGTGTCAGTTGGCGTGTAGCAGGCATGTGTGGCCCGGCAAAACGGGGACAAACCTGTCGTTGGGGTCAGTCTCCACCAAGCCCATGCGTTGGGCCACACGCATGCCTGACTGCACGCGACCAAAGATCGTGTGTTTGCCTGCGAAAGACAAGTTGTAAGCAATGCGTATCCCCAAGAAGAAGGCAGCGGTGGGGTAGGGGTGGTAGCCGACCCACCATCAAGCCAGGCGCAAGGTGCCAGTGTGATGAAGAATTGCGAGCCATTGGTGTTGGGACCGCTATAAATACACGCAAAGGTCGGCGTGAGGCAGAGACCAAGATGATGGTGGGCGTCAAAGCAAACGCAAAAGCACAGGCCAGATTTTGCTTTACCTGTTGGCCATGGAAAGGATGCCAGCACCCGAGTGCTTGAGCTGCGGATGAATCTCGTCGTTGAACTTTTCGCTGGTCAATGGTCCGAAGAGATGATAAAAGAAGAAGAAGAAGAAGAAGAAGAAGAGAAGAAGCAAAGGTTGGCAAAAAGAATGAACGAGAATGAAGGTCCGAGCGCACAAGTCAGCGTGGCAAGCAATTTGGGCCACACTCTCGCAAGGCTTACCCATAGATGGACTGGCCACCGCGGCCAGTGCCTGTAGGATCGCCCGTCTGCAGCATAAAGTCCTGTCGCATCGAACGAGAGCGCCAAACACAACCAGCAACAGGGTCGAGCATGTGAGACAAATGCCAAATTCCAAGAGGGGACAGACGTGCGTGCAAGATAATCAGCAGCACACACCTTGATGATACGATGGAAGACCACGTTGTTGTAGTATCCGCGGCGAGCCTGAGCGACCGAGCCGAGCAGCACAACGAGCAACCACAAGGTGAGGAGTGTTCCAAACCACTTCTGCAAGTCATACATCCATCACCACACCACGTACCAGTTCAGCAAAGTTGCGACACGTATTGGGCGCATGATCCCAATACAGTTCAAAGACCATCGTGCCCATTGAGGTCTTAAACTCGACCGTGGGCGGCCGCCATGATGCGGGAGGGACTGACATGACACACACACGAGTGAACGAGAGAGAGAGAGAGAGAGAGCGAGAGAGAGTGAACGAGAGTGTGTGTGCGCGCAGAGAAAAAATTTAATAATTCATCTAAAAAGCAGAGGGAGGAACGAATTTGAGATGAAAATCAGAGACAGAGGAGAAGTGGAACAGAGGCACGGAGGGATATAGTGAAGCAATTTGAGGGAAATCAGAGACACTGAAAAAAGTGTACGGGGTAGCAGAGAGACAGAGACAACACACAGACACACACAAGAACAAGTTGAGGTCAATATTAGGAAGGTGACTTGAAATTATAAACTGCTTGTGAGAGAGACGCGCTTTTGCGCATTTTTTTTTTTTTTTTTCTGTCGCGGTGGCGTCACGACGGAAGGACGACGGGAACAGCTGCGGCTGGACTACTGGTGCCACAACTGGAGCCACTGGATTGGCTGGCTGACGGGCTGATTGACGGGCTGACTGACTGACTGACGAGTGAAAGAGGCATCTGGTTATCAGTTGCCGCTGTGGGTGTGGTTGCGGATCAGCCTGAAGGCTTGGCGCGCGCGTGTGTGGAGAAATTTTGACTCGCTCGACCTTGCGAAACGGGCCGTGATGGGGCAGAGCGGGAGTCGGGACGTGCTGTTGGATGCGGCGCAGCGACGCCTCGGTACCCATGGGAGTGCCGCCGAGAAGGTTTGGGAAGGCATTTCACATGTCAGGAACGGGCAGCATGACGGCAAAGCTGTGCACGCCATTCCCGCCGAGGCGCTAGCGGCCCACCTTGGACTAGAGGCAGCCGCCTGCCAGCGATTGATAGCTGGAGCGGCCCAAGACTTGTTACCTGGTGAGTGTGCCTTACCTGTTCTCACGCCACTCCCCCAACGTCCTGCCAAGACGATACCTAAAGAATCGTTGCCATCAGGTCCCGAGGCAGCCCAGAACTCGGCCACCAAGGGCCTAGTCTTCTCCATGCTGGCGCAACGAACGATGGGCAGTCGCCGTGAAGTTGCCACGCTCATGACATGGGCTCTGGCTGGTCGCGACGCTCGCCTCTCCAAAGCCGAGCTCTGCTCTCGCTTGACCCCGCTTGTACTGGCTGGACTTCCCTCCACATCTGCCACTGCATCGGTACCATTCCCGCTTGGCTTGCCAACTTTCCATTTTGTCAAACCGTGAGTTGTCACCCTAGCTGCTGCTCTCATTCCCATCCTGCGATCAAACGTCGCCAGTCCACCGGCGACAGTCCACGCATTCAAATTTACGTAGAATACTGGGCCCATGGCCTTACCGCAGGCCAAGATTACGCTAGCACCAGCAGTCTGTCTAGGTTTGAGCCCACACACTGCGTGTGGCACTTGGTCATCCTCATCCATTCGCCCTCCTGACTCATGGCTCTCTCTTCCTTTGTTGGTTTGCCTTGCAACTCAAACTCGGCCCCTCTGTTGGGGCGTGTGCAGTGGCATTGCACATCACGTCTCTCTATTCAACGTCTTATGCGCAGCGACGCGTGCCCTCGACTTGTCGCCACGTGAAGAAGATCAGATCGTGCTGCCCCCAACCACTGCCGACCTCTTATCCCCCGAGGTCAGTCCGAACCCAGGCGTCCCCCAAGCCCTATTACAGCATCTCATTGGCCGATCCAAGAGTGCACCATGCGTTATTTCTCAATGTGCTTTTGCTGCCACAGGCAGCCTTTATCATCAATGCCAACCTCGCCGGGCCCCTTCAGGTACCACGCCTGCGCGCAAACCTTGACGCATCGATTGAGATTAGCCTTCAATCTGCATGTCCCGTTCTAACCTTTTCTGTAGAATCAGTGGCACCTCCTGTACTCGTCGGCCCGCGATGGATCCTCTTTTGCCACTTTTAGTGGGCGCATCACCCAGGCAGGCGCTACAGTGCTTGTCTTCCGCGACAAGCAAGGCCACGTTTTTGGGGGCTTTGCTCCTGAATCATGGAGCGTTCAGCCCCAGTTCTTTGGTCAGTCTGAGCGCTCAGTCAAGGTGCATCTACTCGAGCTGGCCCACCCTGTTCCTTGGCATCCGTGAGCGGCCATGCTCATCTCTTCGGGGTGTGCAGGGAGCAACGCGACCTTTCTCTTCAAGCTCGAGCCCGAGTTGCGTCTCTACGAGGCATCGGGCCTCAACGACCACTTCATGTCAGCACATCGCCCCAGTCTTGACCCAACGCGATGCCACTGTTGACACTCAATATCACTTCCACTGCCTCCCTCCCTCCACGCCTCCCTCTCGCTTGACTATATCTGCGCAGGTACATGAACCAAGGCATGAAAACCATGCCCAATGGTTTAGGCTTTGGTGGTCAGCTCAATTACTTTGCGCTTTACGTGGATGCGGCCCTGACCAACGGCCATAGCAAGGGCAAACCAAGTACAACCTTCAAAAGCCCCAGCCTGGCGGCTTCTGAGGACTTTGTGATTGATGCTTGTGAGGCTTGGCGTGTGGGTCCCAGCCCCGAACAAGCAGCTGGGCAAAAGAGTATTTTGGACGGGCGCCATGAAGAGGAGGCTCTCTTGGAAATGGCTGGGCGCACCCTCCACAGTAAGCAACTGCGCGAGCCCCATCCCGAGGATGATGAGTAATGTGGCAGTGCCACGCAACGCTTGCTTTTGCTTTTGCCTTCCGTGCGGTGTCCAACGGATTGCAAGCGAGTACCAAGCGAACAGTAACGATTTCGTTGTGTACAAATGGTTCGTTTGTTCTTTTTCATGTGAATTGGAGTGGCCCACTATCGATTGCAAGTTCACAAGCCAAGTCGACCGGCGATTAAATGCGCGTTTCCGTCGCGAAGGCCAGGTTAACTGCCATGGAACCATCTTTCGAGTCGAGACTTTCGCCCGACTCGACCACGCATTGCGCTAGCTGCTCTGCAGCTTTGGCTGCCGGTGGTCGATCCGCGGGGTCTGCAGACCAACACGCGCGTATGATTCTACACGGGCCCGCAAATAACAAAAAAGGAAGGGGTGTGAGATATGTCCCATCCAACTTTCGACAAATCGGCCGAGGACTAACGCTGCACACGACGGCAAGGTGTTGTCGGGCAGCATCGGTCGGTGACCACGGTCCAAAAAGATGCTCAACTGCGCAACGCTCAACGCCGCGAGGGGACTCTCGCCCATCAAGACTTCAGATCCCAACAGCCCAAAAGCCCAGACATCGCTTGCGCGAGTGAATGGCTGGCCATGCAAGCACTCGGGACTCAAACGCCTAAGGGAAAAAGGCAATGATTAGATAAGACCGTGTGTGTGGGTGGAGTTGAAAACAGACACACAGACACAGACACACACACACACACACACACACACACACAAACTCTTGATTCCACACGTCTACACAAAACATGTAAAACACTGGGCACAGGAGCCAGCTCACCGAAAAGGCAAGTGCCCATCATGTGAAGGGGTGTAGTAGTCACTGTTAGCCTCAAGCACTCGGCTCACTAGTTGCAGGGAGCGATCATGGTGCAAGCATTGCCACAGTTTAATGAATTAATGAATGTTAGTACTTGCGGCAATGATGGGCGCAGACTCGAGACGAAACATACAGCCAAAATCAGCCAGCTTGCAGGTGTGGAGGTTGCATAGAAGGACATTGCGACTAGCGAGATCCCGATGCACCGTTTGACGACCGTGCAAAAATGCCAGTGCCGAGGCAATCTATGATCATGCCCAGGCAGACATATCAAGTGCATATCACAAACAAAGAGCTGCTGCGAGACACTGGCCCTCGCCCATTTGGTACCGCACCTGATGAAGCCAAAGATAGCGCCGAGCTAAAGGAGTGGTGCATCCAGGGCCGGATCCGCGGGCCAGATGATCGTGCAGGCTTCCCAGCGGAGCCAGCTCCAAAACGATTCCCAATTGTCGCTGATACTCGGTTAACCCATGGCAGGCAATGATGTGGGGGTGCTCAAGGGACCGCAACACCAATACCTCGGTCAAGATGCGCAACAATTCATCCTTGACGAAGGTGGAAAGCGAATGGAACCCGGGTTCAGATGGGTAAATGTGAGCAGACGGAATGGGCCGACACACAGCGGCGGGGGCGGTCAAGGTGAAATTACCTTATTTTGAGTGGTGGGCATAATCTTGATGGCCACGTATGACTGTTGATCTCCATCGTGCCAGCGCGCCTGCGCGACACGACCAAAGTGGCCTCTGCCCAAATCCTGTCCCAGGTCAAATTGGTCGCTGCAATATCGTGTGCGTGGGCAACAATCGAGCAGTGAGCTTGGCTCCTGGCTTTAGGATGAAATATCAAGTCAGGCCTGGCAAATCCGAGGTACGCACGGATCAAGGAAAAGTGTTTCTGCCTCCAGTTTGGGCAGGGTTTCCCCCAAGTTTTCGGACGCTTGCAAGGCCAGGCGAGCAGTGTGAAGGGCTCGGTGCGTGGGTGCGAGCTGCCGCTGTCGGGTGACAAGCAGGAGCGCCCCGATTGCAGTCAACACCAGGACGCAGGCCAGTGTTGCACCAACAATGACGCCCGTGTTGAGATTAGAGTGTGAGGCCAGGCCTCTTGGAGCTGTCGTCACTGCATTGGGCGTGCTTGACGTAGGAAAGGCTGTGGTTACCAACCCACCGGGGGCCCAGTTGGGAAACCCAGACACAGTGGACATGTTGCTCACTAAAGGAACTTGGTCGGGTTTGTGAAGAATGAGCTGGCTTTGGGCCTGGTTCAGAATGCGGACTGTGGTATTGAAGCTGAGGTATTCCTCTCCAAAGATGGTGCGGTTGAAGTCGCCCTCAAAGGTGGGCTTGAGTATCATTTGAATGCGATAGAGGTTGTCAGTGCCTGCCATCTTGATGGGCTCTTGCAAGTCGGGCATGAGAGCGGCCAGGCCGCGGCGCATGATAAAGCGGGTCACCGTGCTGTGACGTGCCACGAGAACGACTTGAACAAACTGATTGGTGTCGTCATCGGCTTTCAAGTAGAAGTCACAGATCTGCTCGTCAAAGCCGTTTCGACAGTCAATATGCCCGTCGCAGAAGCGCTGGGGCGAATCGAGCGTGTCTTCGCTCCAAGCCGTGGGCAGAGCCGTACCGTTGGGCATGTAGTTGGTGCAGGATATGGGCTCGGGCTCAGGCAGTATGGAAAAACAAGAGGGGGAGCAGGTGATGCGACCACAGTCGCCGGGGGTGGGGTCCAAGGCACACGTGCAATTGACGAGACGAGACGAGAAAGCGAAGCTGTAGTTGCGGTCGCAGGCCCTGGGAAAGGTCCCAGCAAACGTGTCTGGGTCCAAAAAGTGGACGGGCATGCCATGCAATTGCAAGCTTGTCAGGTTCTCCAGGAGGGAGGGCAAGAAGAGAGGGCTCAAAAGCTGATCCTCAAGGTCGGTGTAGCTGACGTCCAGGGTTTCGAGGGCCAGCAGGATGCGCATGGCCTTGGACGAGCTCAATACATTGCCGTTGTGGCTGGCGTTGAAATAACGAAGACGTCGGAGGTTGAGCATGGTAAAACGGCTAATGGATGTAAGGGCTTGGCAGCTCACATCAACATACTCAAGGTCGGCAGACATGAGGCTTGGAAGCGTGGTGATTGTGCTGGAGCGGCCACACGCGGGACACTCCAAGCTGGGCCCGTGCTCGGCACTGCGATTGTAGGTACAGGCGGCATAGTAGCTGCAGGTTTCATTGGCGGTCACCTCAAGAGGCCAACGCCACTCCCCGTCCATGCATACAAAGCGAGGAGTGAAGAAGTGTGCACCATCGCAGCCAAAGTTGCAGACGTGGCCGTGGGGAAAAACGAAGTCGCTCGTAAACGCGCAGTTTTCGGGTAAGGCGTAGTCCAGCCGCATAAAAACCATGCCGTTGCAGGGGCGACAGGTCTCATACTGGCAATTGTTGTCAAAGAGGGATTCATCGAGAGCTAGAGTGGGATTGGATTGGAGCAATAGGAGGCTCAGCACGAGTGCGCAGCCCCAGGTTGTCGTCGGACGTCTCATGGTAGGGCACAATAAGTCAGCGATGGGGCCACGAGGGGGCGGAGTGAAGAGAGAGGGGTCTTTTCTCTTTGGAAAGCGCCCAAGGCCGAGGACTGCGATGAGCGGCTGGTTGTGATGAGTGTGGGGGCAGGCAAAAGAAGCGAGCTTAGTGTCATGCACGCCTTGCTGCTCTCGGTGCCGCCTCCGACGTCTCCGGGCGCGGCAACGTACACAGGCCAACAATGGCGCGACTGCCGCTGGACCCTATGAGCTGGAGAGTGACGAAACAAGACTGTTTTTGTTGCCGTCTTGCTGCTCACGCCACCCGAGCCACGGCAAAAACAACCCCTCGCCGCCATTCAAGCCTGAGCCCACCCGCGTGAGAGAGAGAGGACAGAGAGAGACAGAGAGACAGATGTGTGTGTATGAATAAGAGAAAGTGTGTGTGTGTGTGTGTGTGTGTGTGTGTGTGTGAAAATGAGATAAACTTCAAGAGGAAAAATGAGATGTGATGAAGGCGGAAGGGGTTCGCTTGTAGTGCGAGTCCTGACACGGGTGAGAACACACACTTTCACACACACACACACTCACTCACTCACCCACACACGCGCGCGCGCGCGCCCAGTTTGTTCCCGAGGCGCACTCGAAGAGTCATCATGACCGAGAACCCTTTGGACGGCCAGAGCCGCAAGGCAGCAAGCAAGGCAGCAAGGAAGGAGTGGGTCGTCTACCTAATCAACGTCCCAAATCTGTAACCAAACGTACACAGTCCATTTTCCCGCGTAGCTCACGTGTGGTAATGTTTTTATTTCCTCTCCTCTCTCATTTCTCTCTCATTTCTCTCTCATTTCTCTCTCATTTCTCTCTCATTTCTCTCTCATTTCTCTCTCATTTCTCTCTCATTTCTCTCTCATTTCTCTCTCATTTCTCTCTCATGTCTCTCTCATGTCTCTCTCTTCGCACTACTGCGCACTACGCGGCAGTATTCAACGAGGACGGCGATCGGGTGGGGTGAGATCATTGAGCGGTTTGTCAAGATTGAAAACTTGCGATGCATCGGATTAAGGGATGGATCTGTTGAACCGCCTCTTGAAACAGCGTTTACCAGAATCATTAATGAGAGTCCATAAAGTGATTATTACTAGAGCATCGGGTGGCTATCTCACGAACCTTGTGCTTCGTTTGAAGCAAAACTCCGTAGACTTTTTTCTCGCAACACACTCCAACACGCACTGTCTTTTCAACAATTCTGGCTGGTCGCTGTATCAGCGCACACCCCCGACCAGCGAAGAGCCTGAGAGAGGAAGACAACAGAGAAAGAGAAAGGGAGAGAGAGAGAGAGAGAGAGAGAGAGAGAGAGAAAAAAAAAAAAAAAAAAAAAAAAAAAAGGCAGGAAAACAATGCATGCATGCATGTATAGCTGTGAGTGATCGACGCGATCACTCTTGATCGAAAGAGAGAGGATGTCCATCCAATTGTCTGCACATTTTCCTCGGCGGGCTCGTCTCTGAGAGCTTTACTCAGCTGCCTCGTTGTTCCCCTTGTGCCCTTGATCGGTCTGCGCCCAATCGATACCAACGTGGTCCTCGAACATCTTCTTAGGATGGCGCCATCCTTTCGTGCGGCTGCCGTTCTGGCAGGTTTGGGCGTTTTGTTCACTTGGTCCGCACCGCCCTTTGCAGTCTGGGGTGCCGATGCCCAGGCACCAGCTTGTCACGAATGCTACGAAGCGGCCGATGATGCCGAGCTCCAGCTTCGCCAAGCCATCGACAGCGTCGAGGCCCGCCTGCACTTTGACCGCCAAGCTTGGGCCATGACCGGTCAGGAACATCCCTTTCCCGCTCGTGCACACTCGCTGGCCACCGACTTGGGCCAGGTCGTCGACACTGTTGCCCAGCACCGTGCCGCGCTTGATCAGCTTCTCAAGCGATTGGACGCGCTTGACGTCCAGCATCACGCCGCGCGCGTGGCCGCCGATGCGTTGCAGCCCCGCGTCGCACAGGCCGAGGCTCTGATTGACACTGGCTTTCGAGCCTATGCCCCAGCTCTCGATCAAAGTGCCACTCACAGCGCCGAGTTGACTCGCGCACAAGCTCAAGTCTCGGCCGTTGAGTCGCAAGCAGACTGGATTGGTGACATCCTCTTGACCAAGGCCGGTGAGGCATCTCAACTCGTCTCAATCGAGGCCGAGCTCAGCACCAAGGCTCGAGATTTGGAACCGGCACACATCGAGGCTCTGGTCGACCTCCTCGACGTGCCTGGGGACATCAATCGCGAGCGTTCCCACCTGGACGCCCAAGTGCAGGCCACCGAAGCTTCGCACACGGAACAGCACGTGCAGTTTCTGGGCGCCGCCGACACCTCGCGAGCCGCCGACACGCTCGCCATGACCCTTCTTCTTGACACAGCCCGCGTAAGCCGTCTTTTGCAGAACGCTTTTTCCCCTCTGCTTATCAACACATCATCTGTTGCTCACATCGGCTGCGTCGTTCTGTTTTGACCTGCCTTGTTCTGGGATGATCCTTTGCTTTCTCGCCTTGTTTGTTGAATGCTTGGCACCCCTGGTCGATGCACATTTTCCGTCAATACAGGCTGAAACAGCTCAGGCAGGTGTCACCAAGTTATCCAACCAGATTGAGGCGTTTGATCCTGCTGCCCAGCGCGCAGGCCTGGATGACGCTGCGGAGAAATTGGCGGCTACGCGAGCCGATCTGCCCGAGTTGCCCATAGCTGCCATTGAAGCCCAGGAAGCCAAACTCTCCACTCAACTACACGGCTACGCCCAAACATCCTCCGTCGCTACTCAACACGAAGCCCGACTGTTGGCCGAGGTCGACGCGTTTGCAAACCTGCGCGAACGCACGTCAACGGCAGTCGCCGAAGTTCATGGCTATGTCCATGAGCTGACGGCGCTCGAGGCGCTCGCCGCTACGCTGTCTCAGTACGATCAGCTCAGTCCAGAAACGGTTCATGCCGAAGCCACCCTGACCGCTTCCGTAAACAACAGCCTTGCTGAGATCAATGCTGCACTCAACATGGCCGTCTCAACTCACGCCACCATCGCGCAGCAGGTACTGTGGGTACATCTCGCACAATTCCAGGTGCTCGTGCTGGCTTCTGCGCAACATGCCGCATTTGCTCACCACTCGCCATTCACGCAACACTCTGCAGCTTCTGAGTGCCGAGGCACATGTGCAAGTTTTGGCCAATCAGACACGAATTGCTGCTACCCTCTCAGTGTTGCAAGACACGACCATTCAGGTGTCTGCCACACTAGCCAAGCGCCAGATGGCGCTGTCCTCGGAGACTAGTCTCCTGGCTCGGCTCAACGACGCTGCGGTTAGTCTGAGTGCAGCACAACCAGTTGCTCAGCACGAGCTGGAGCTTCAGGTGGCAGTGGGCTCAGCCTGTGCAGTCGAGCGCTGCCAGCATGCTCAAGAGCTCGAAGTGTTGTGGACTCGTGTGGAGGCAGCGCTCAATTCAACGCGCCAGCGCTCAGCGGAACTGAATACGCTCGAGTTTGACTTGGGGTGTGTCAGGCCTTTGTTCATCAGTTGACTTTGCTCAGCCTTGTTGCGCCCTGCGATGGTCCTCTCATTACACGTGTGCCGGCGATTGGGGCCAAATTTCGTGAGCCTTTAGGGCACTGAGCACCAGCGTGGCTTGGCTGCAGCAACACGAGACGAAGCTGGACACCAATTTGGCTCTTTTGGAAACTGAGCAGCGGAACGTGACTCGGGAGCTCAGTCAGACGAAGCAGTCGCTCGCTGGCCTAATCTCCTTGCTCGCTACTCTTCCAGCCGTGTGCGATGACAGCACTTGACTCAAGTCCAGTGTTCCTGTGCATATTCTTATTAATCTGCTTCCCGTGTGCGCTTCAGCTAGTCCGCCTCTTTCCGTTTTTCACATGTCAATGTTCTCAAAGCAATCATGAGGGGGAGTTTCAAATGAGATATCAATTATTGCTTAAAACTTGTTGTTCAGGGCAGGCACCGTCGTTTTTGGCATGTGGGCCACCAACCACACACCACTCACGGGGGGGGGGGGGGGGCCC